ATGAGGTTGCATTGCCTGGCGGCCCACTGTGGAGTCTGTCCAGCGGCCCTTGAAGGGGGTGGGAGGGGGCCCCATGCGTCTCTTCCTTCATCCCATGACCGCTTTCTCCCCCTCCCCACTCCCGGTCTGGGGTCTGCCAGGAGGGCGGCACCGCTCCTGGAGCAGAGCTGGCGGGCACAGGGCGCCCGGGCGCCTCCTACCCGCTGCGGCCTCCCTCCTGCGGGGCTCCCATGGCTGCTCCTAGCTGGAGCATGGTCCCCAGAACCCCTCCTCAGAAAAGCTGCCTGGCCCAGGGCCCGTGGGGCCGCCGGCCGAGCGCTGCGTGACCCCCTGAGCAGAGGTCACTGAGTCCCACTGAATACTTTATTTTTTCCTTTTTAAGACAGACTTGCTTTCCATTAGGAAGCCTGACCTCTATTTGTGAGGGAAGGCATGACAGACAGTGACTGGAGGGGCTTCCGGGTGGGGAAACGGCCACACCAGCCGGGAGGGGTGCCAGGCAGAGGCCTTTCAGAGGGACAGTCCTGAAGAGAGCAGGCGCCTCCCGGGGCCCTGGGGGAGCCGTGGCTGCAGCCTCAGTGGCTGCACCGCACTGACCCTCCTGACCCCACCCCCAGACCCCCTGAGCCAGGAGCCCAGGGAGCGCTGTCCTGGCATGCCAGGCGGGAGCATGCTTTCCAGGAGCAGGCACGGCTCATCCCCACGGTGCTCAGTTCCAGGAACAGGTGGGCTCAACCCCACGGCGCTCAGCTGGTAGTCACAGCTGCTGGGGCACGTCCCTTCCCTGCCCCTTGCACTCAGTAACCCGTGCTCCTCCGCACCCCCACCCCGGCACCTCCGCTCTCCTTCCTTGCTGTGCTGCCTACTGGCCGCCCTCCCCTCCTCCAGCATCCCGGTCCCTTCCCACCTCTGGGCCCTCGCTCTTCTCCTTGGGAGGGAGCAGCCTTTCCTCAGCTCCTCTGTCAGCTTCCGTCTCAGCACTTCCGCTCTGATGGGGGAGACCCCTGACGACTCCAGCTAAGGCGGCCACCACTTTCTGGACGCACTGTGTGGCATCCCCACCATCCGAAATGACCACTGTCACCTGTTGTTGTGAGTCCAACAGGAAGTTGAGTGGAATTTTTCCTGTTTGCCCAGAATTGCAGATTAGGCCCAAGCTCAGGGCAGAAACGCAGAGTTCCTTCCTGTGGTCCAAGGCCGGGAGTCGTGCCTGCGGGCTGATGGACAGGCGCCACCAGCCTGCCCCGCCCCTCCGCAGTGAACTTGAGACTGGGGGTGGGGTGGCCCCAGGGCAAGTGCAGAATTCGTGATTAGAATTCATTTCCTCCCTCAGCTTCCTGAAGCCAAGGGAAAGTGGTTTTCCAGGGCCCCTGCTGGCCAGGAAGAGTGGCTACCTGCCCCGGGCTGCCGCAGGGCCAGAGGGAGAGAGTGGGGTGTACCTGTCCCCATGCCCGGCCGGCACAGGCGCCATGCGGAGGTCAGGGCCCGAGGCAGGCTTGTGTTCGTTGGCTCCATTTTAGAGAAGGGCACCTGTGTTCAGTGTTCAGGGAGGAGGTGTGGCTTTCCTGAGGCCAGCCCAGCCAGTGGCAACCGAGCCTGCCCGGCGGCTTCAGACTGGCTCACTCCTTGCCGGAGCTCTGGTCTGCCTTCTCTACGACCACCCACCGGATGCGGGTGGGAGCACGGCTGCCTTCCTGGGCCGGGCCTCTCTGTCGGGCGCTGGGCGCTGCAAGAGTAGGTGAGGCCTGCGTCCCTTGCAGGGCAGGCGGCATGGACCGTGTGGGTGGTGTGGCCAAAGCCGTGGGAGGGACAGCTGGGGAGGCCGCGACCTCAGCCCTGGTGAGGGTCCTGCCTGGTGACTGTGATCTGTTTCCTGGCTGCTGCCTCCCCGCTCCCCACAGTCAGCGTGTGCTATGAATGTGTGCACATGTACATTGCAGGAAGCAGCTTCGTGAACTCAGATGTGAGGGGTGGTGGCCTTAGGGAGAAGAGGCAGTGGGATTGAGGGGTAACTTAAGCAGGACTGTATATTTGTGTCTGTAATTTTGTGTTAGTTGATGTTTTGTGATCATTCATTCATGTAAAAACCAAACCAGACAAAAAGCTGCCCTGGGACCTGGCTTCACTGACCCCTCAGGAGGTCAGCACAACTTTGTTTGCCCTTCTCCAGAAACACCACGTGTTCTCAGGTGCGAGGAGGCCTTCAGGGGTCCAGAGAGTTCCTCTGGGCTCTTCTGCGCCTCTTTGCCTCGGAGTCCCCCAGCCACTTGTTGCAACAAATGAAACTGGGGGGGCTTCCCTGGTGGTCTGGTGGTTAGTGCTCGGGTGCGTCCACTGCAGGGGGCGTCAGTCTGATCCCTGGTCAGGGAACTAAGATCCGACATGCTGTGCAGCACAGCCAGAAGCAAAGGAAAGTGAACACGGAACACTGGCCTGCTTCCCTCCGAAGGTCCTTTCTGAAGGGGTTTGCAAGGTGCAATAACTGTTTAATGTTCAACCTGCATCTTAGGCCAGTTGAGTGAGGTTTGGCACTGTCCTGCCCAGCTCTTGTTCTGTTTATAAACATGTTTATCGCTCTGATGAGGAGCAGGTTCAATTCAAGAAAACAGGATAGGCCTCGAGTCCCTCCAGAGGTTAGTGTGCTCGGATCCTAGAATGAAGGATGAGACTCTATAGGTAATTTTCAGCCTGGGGAAACGGGAGCCCCTAACTGCTGTCCTTCCCAGGACAGAGCAGACAGACCAGCTGCCATTTGGGATTCTTTTCTGGGGAAGAAGTTTCCAGCATTGGCGGCACCTAGTCCTGCTGCAGGCAAGGCTCCTCCAGTGGGACGAGGTAAATGGATGTTGTCAACAAAACCTCATTTCTGTGGTCCCTGTAAAGACATATATCCAAGGACTTGGATAGACACTCATACAGCTGTGTTCACAGCAGCATTACTCCCAACAGCCGAAAGGTAGGAACAATCCAGATGTCCATCGACAGGTAGACAAAGTGTGTTCTGGACATACAGTGGGATATTATCAACCATAAGGAGGAATGAAGTTCTGATGTTGCAGGGGGCAGAGATGAACAGGTGGAGCTTTTTATGATACTATAATAAGGTTACATGTCATTTTACTTACATGTGTCAAAACTCATAGAATGTATGACACCAAGACGGAATCCACGTTAATTCATAGATTCAGTGATGTGTCAGTTTAAGCTCATCAGTTGTAGCAAATGTCTCATCTATGGGGAAGGTTGATAATGTTGAGGCTGTGCCTAGGTGGACAGAGTATGTACTATCCTCTCAATTTTGCTGTGGACCTAAAACTGCTCTAAATAATAGTCTTAAGTTTTAAAAATGTATCTCATACATGGGCTTCCCTGATAGCTCAGTTGGTACAGAATCTGCCTGCAATGCAGGAGACCCCAGTTTGATTCCTGGGTTGGGAAGATCCACTAGAGAAGGATAGGCTACCCACTCCAGTATTCTTGGGCTTCCTTTGTGGCCCAGGTGGTAAAGAATCCACGTGGAATGCGGGGGACCTGGGTTCAATCCCTGGGTTGGGAAGATCCCCTGGAGAAGGGAAAGGCTACCCATTCCAGTATTCTGACCTGGAGAATTCCATGGACTACAGTCCATGGGGTTGCAAAGAGCTGGACACAACTGAGCGACTTTCACATTCACTTTCACATTCTCATACATGCTGTCAACATTGATGAACCTTGAGGACTTTATGATCAATGGAATAAGCCAGACACCAAAGGACAGATATTGTATGATTCCACTAATACGAGGTGTCTAGAGTGGTCGAATTCATAGAAAGCAGAGTGGCGGTTACCAGGGGCTGGAGGCCAAGAATTGGGAGTTGGTGTTTAATGGGTGCAGAGTTTCCGTTTGGGGAGATGAAAAAGTTCAGAGATGATGCTGTGGTGGTGCAGCCTTGTGAAGTATTGCTTGCTTTTTCTGTTTTCAGATAAATGTTCTTGATGCAAGCAAAACAGGAATGCTCTGATCACTTACCGAAGGTCACTGAGGCAAACAGCCCTTTGTGAGATCTCCGGACAGTGTACCATCCCAGGCGGAAAGGTGAGTCTGAGGTGTGTGCTTAGTACTTCTGTGCTGAGGACAGTAGCCTCTGGCAAAAACAGACATCAGATTGTGGTAGACGTCTGAGCAGTAGACTTCCTTCTTGCTGTCCACGTGCAACTGGAGTTTCAAATAGCACCTGTTACCCGTTTTTTAAAAAAACATCTACAGGAATCTCCATAGATGCCCATAATGGAGAGACGGTACCAAATCCCCCAATACCTCTGGCTCATTTGGTTCCAGAAACTTCTGATTCTGAAGCTGTGACACCTTCCATTTATTTCTCCACCCTCATGTCTTCTTCCCACCAGTGACTCTTCTGTGGAATGCCTGCCTGCAGCGTAGCTGCTATTTTTAGAAAGTTAAGAGCCGGTATCCAGGTTCCAGGCCAGCGACCGTGGGGCAGAGTAGGTCTGTGTCCTGCTCATGACACACGGCCGGGCAGAGGCTGTGAGCCTGTGTGAGCTGGAACGCAGTGTCTGGTGACCTCCCGGGGTCTTCCGGACCAGTGGCTCCCCAGGCTGCAAAGGGAAGAGTGAGGGCCAGGCAGGCCACCACCCCTGAGCAAAGAGGTGTTTACTGCTGAGTCAGCCTCTCAAAGCCTTTTCTCATGACCCAGAGCCTGTGTGACCTCTCCCAGTACCCGCTGAAGCCCTATGAAAAGAAGTTATGCTCCAGAGCTTGTAGTGAATTCTCAAGAATATCCACTTATCTTAAAGGGAAGCCCTACTGATAACTTTGTAGAAAGATTAAAACAGACATTTTTTAAAAAAATGTAAACCTTCATGCCACACGCGTTATTAAGCATGGTTTTTAATCCTGCAGGGCATGGGATGGCAGACAGGTTAGCCAAGAAGCCTCAGAGAAGGTGCCGGTGGATGTAGCTGCCCTTTGCCCCCTCCCGCCCCCCGCTGCGCCCTGCACGATGAACCCCCCAGCCTACAGCTGCTTTGTGGACAGAGACAAGATGGACTCGGCCATCCCGGACCTGGGGCCCAAGGAGCTGAGCTGCATGGAGCTGCCGGAGCTGAAGCAGCTGGCGCGCCAGGGCTACTGGGCCCGCAGCTACGCCCTGCGGGGGCAGGTGTACCAGCGCCTGATCCGGGACATCCCCTGCCGCACAGTCACCCCCGATGCCAGCGTGTACAGAGACATCGTCGGCAAGATCGTGGGCAAGCACAGCAGCACCAGCCTGCCCCTGCCCGAGTTTGTGGACAACACGCAGGTGCCCAGCTATTGCCTGAACTCGAAGGGCGAGGGCGCTGTGCGCAAGATCCTGCTGTGCATCAGCAACCAGTTCCCCGACGTCTCCTTCTGCCCCGCGCTGCCCGCGGTCGTGGCTCTGCTGTTGCACTACAGTGCCGATGAGGCCGAGTGCTTCGAGAAAGCTTGCCGCATCCTGGCCTGCAAGGACCCCAGCAGGAAGCTGGTAGACCAGAGCTTCCTGGCCTTCGAGTCTTCCTGCATGACGTTTGGGGACCTGGTGAACAAGTACTGCCAGGCAGCCCACCAGCTGATGGTGGCCGTGTCAGAGGACGTCCTGCAGGTGTACGCGGACTGGCAGCGCTGGCTCTTCGGGGAGCTGCCCCTCAGCTATTTCGCCCGTGTCTTTGACGTCTTCCTGGTGGAGGGTTACAAGGTGCTGTACCGCGTGGCGCTGGCCATCCTCAAGTTCTTCCACAAAGTGAGGGCGGGGCAGCCGCTCGAGTCAGACAATGTGAAGCAGGACATCCGCACCTTCGTCAGGGACATCGCCAAGACCGTATCTCCCGAGAAACTGCTGGAGAAGGCGTTTGCCATCCGCCTCTTCTCTCGGAAGGAGATTCAGCTCCTGCAGATGGCCAACGAAAAAGCTCTGAAGCAGAAGGGCATCACCGTCAAGCAGAAGAGGTAGGCAGGTCACTGGGGCCACCTCTAGGGCCCGGATGGGGTGGGGCCTGTGAGGAAGCATCCTGGGGGCTTGGTGCCTGAGCTCGACCGGCCGCTGGCTGGTAAGCCCTCCGTGCGCATACAGAAAACCACCGGCCAGGAGACAGGGCCTGTCTGGTGCAGCTGCAGGCGGCCAAGGCAGCTGTGGGTGCGGGGCCCTGTGGACGAGACACAGGCTGGAGCCAACGGTGGTACCCGTGGGCCCAGGAGGGAGCCAGGCTGGCCTCCCTGGGTCACTCTGGAGCCACTCTTGATGCCCACCCCTCAGCTCCGGGTTCCCATCCTGGTAGCCCCCCGTCCCGAGCACAGCTGCCTGGGGAGCCAGCCTGGGGAGGGCCCATGTGTGCTGAGACCTCAGCGGCTGTCATTGTGCCCCATCTGTAGGTGTGGAAGCCTTTCTCGTGGGCCAAAGGCAGGCGTGTCCTGGGTGTTAGTACTTGCCACTAACCTCTCCTTGTCTGTTTTATTTTTCTTCCTGTTCTCCGTGTCCGTTGCTTCCTCCTGTTTTTCAGTGTTTCACTTTCTAAAAGGTAGGTCTGGAAACCGTGTCTCCACACCTGGCTTCTCTCTGTCTTCCGGCCTGGCTGCTTGCTCCAGCTCTCAGGGCTGGCTTCAGCAGTGCTGCCCCAGAGCCTGGCTGATGTTCAGGCCTGTCTGTCTGTCTGTCTGCCTATTGGTGCTTGGCTTGCCGGCATTCATGCCTGTCTGTCTGTCTATCTGCTGTCGGTGCTTGGCTGGCCTGGAAACATTGTCTTGCCAGAGCTGACTCTCTCTGTCCCCATTTCTTAGAGAAAGGGGGCTTTCGTTCTCGTCCCCGGGCTGGGCTCTGTCCCCTCTGTAGCAGGGTGGGAACGGGACTCCAGGGCTAGCTCCACCCCGTGCCCTCCTGAGGGCCTCTGAGGCCCCTACCAGGCTCTGACCTGGCTCCGCAGGTAAGAAGTTCCCTCCAGGCTGAGCTCCCATGAGAGGCTCACCCCTCCTGGGAGGGGGCAGGGTGCATGGCTGGGGCTGGGGCTGCAGCTCTGCTCTGACCTCTCCCCGCTCCCTCAGGCAGTTCGTGCACCTGGCCGTTCATGCAGACAACTTCCACTCAGAGATCGTCGGTGTGAAGGAGATGAGAGACATCTGGTCGTGGGTCCCTGAGCGGTTCGCCCTTTGCCAGCCCCTCCTGCTCTTCTCCTCGCTGCAGCATGGGTACAGCCTGACCAGGTAACGCCCCGGAGGCAGGGCCCTGGGCCTGCCCCCTTGAGGTGCTGCGGTCTGGATGCCAAGGGCCAGACGGAGCAGAAGGGATGGGGCTGCCCAGCGTCTCGTCCTGCCTGCACGTCCTGGAGGCCAGAGGCCTCCTGCAGACACAGCTGCCTGGGCAAGGCCCTGCCTCTTACTGGGGCCTAGACTTGGGAGCCCCTCTTCTGAGCATCTCTCACTCCAGGGCCACCCCCACTGCAGGGGTTAGGGTTAAGGTCATTGCAGCACCTGCGGGGCTCCGCGGCCTCACACAGGTGTGGTGGTGATCAGGCGCAGGCTCCCCTGCCCTCGAGCTTACAGAATGTCAGGACAACTCGAGGTGGCCAGCCTTGGGTACTGCTCTTCCACCCCCGTTTCACCAGTCCACACCAGGTCCGTCTTGGCCCTGTGGGCTGTGCTGGGCCCTGCCCAGTGTCCAGGGGATTCTGGGAGGCTTCCCCCGAGGCACCCTGGGAGCCTCAGATGGCTTCTGACCCACGCTCTGTCTTGGGTCACGGGCGATGCAGACGGAGGGGCCCAATCCACATGGCGGGCACCGTTGAGCGCCACCTGCATATTCTGGCATAGCCAGCCCCCACTGTGTGGTGTGGGAGGCCCATGGAGGGACGCTGGCCAAGCCCTGGGCACCTGTGCTGGCACAGCGGTGGCCTCAGGCCTCCTCCTGGCTCTCCGGTGCTGCCAGCGCCCGAGAACGCTCCAAGCTTTCCCAGAGCACAGACCTGTTCCTCTGGTTCTGGCTTCCCCAAAGCTCTTGGCACGTGGCTGTCTGCTAGGGGCCATCTGCCCTGCCGCTTCTTCTCTGGGCACATCAGGGCAGAGTGTCCAGGACTCTGACTGCTTGGCCTGCGGCCTCCTGGCTGGGGCTCCCCGTTGGCAGAAGCGCCCAAGCCCAGGCATTGCCATCCAAGCTGTGTGCCTGGTTCCCAGGAGAGGAGGACAGGCAGGTGTCAGGTCCGTCTGCCCACCCTGGGCAGCCAGGGTCAGCAGCGGCTGGGGGGAGGCAGCCAGGGAAGGGGCCTGTCAGAATGGCAAGGCCATTCTCTGCCCCCAGGTTCTACTTCCAGTGTGAAGGACGAGAGCCCACTGTTCTGCTGATCAAGACTACGCAGAAGGAGGTAAGGACCAGCCAGGGGGACCCTGGCTCCTGGCCTCTTGGGAGGGTGGGTGTTCCCTGGTAGCCCCCACCCAGGTTTCCTGGGCTTAGGGGTGCAGAGCAGGGCTTGCCCTCCACAGAGAGGTAAATCTAGCCTCCTTACATGACCCCCCAAGTTCCCAGGGCCTCCCTGTTTCCCCTGGGGTCCAGACCCCCAGCCTGACTGGCCCGGCAGTCTAGAGGAACTTTGCAGAAATGCTGGCTAAGCGAGGTCCCACGTCCTCCTGCAGTAGTCTGCCGGCGCCTTCCCCTCCTCCACCCCAGCAGGTAGTTCTCAGAGCCTTGTTCTCTGCAGTGGCTGTCATCTGGAATGTACTTAAGGTGTCTAGAAAAGTGAGCGCCTCCATCCTGGAGCGTCTGTGTGCTGTGGTGGCTCCCAGATGCCCAGCTGCATCTACAGGACTGTCTCCTCAGCCTCAGACCCTGCGTCCGACTCCCAGGAGGAGCCCGGGTGTCTGTTACAGCAGGTGACCCAAGTGTTAGATACCTCCGTAACCACTCGGAGGAGTGACTCTAATGGTGAAATCAAGTACTTTGCTGGCTGATAGGAGGCCTGGGGAGTGTTTCCTGAGCAGGTGCCTCCTGGAAGCTCCCATCTGAGGGGCCTCCCTGGGCTGATGCCCATAGTTGGGGTGTGGACATGGGCTTGTCCCCAGGCTTCCGGGCCCAGGGGGGAAATGGAAGTATCCCAGGAGCTGGCAGCGGCCAAGGTAGCCTCCACGCCTGCTCCCTGCCAGCCCTCTCTCCACACTCTGACCTTCCCTGGCCTTCCGATGGTCAGGGTGTGACTGTGACAACAGGTGCGGCTGTGACTACGACCCCCCAGCGGTGACTGAGCCTCGGCTCTCAGGTGCCCTGAGTGCTGGGGGGCTCCCGTGGGCGCACCAGGTGCAGCCTCACCCTGGGCCTTCCTCCCCAGGTGTGTGGCGCCTACCTGTCAACAGACTGGAGTGAGAGAAACAAGTTTGGGGGCAAGCTGGGCTTCTTCGGGACCGGAGAATGCTTCGTGTTTAGGGTGAGTGGGTCCCCCGCGGGAGGTCACCCCCTCATGTGACCCTGCTTCCTTCCAGACTCGCCTCCCCCTGTCACGCCTCCCCGTCGCCTGCTGGGGTGTGACCCTTAGAGGCGAGCTCGGAGAGCAGGTGGCCCTCTGTGGTGCGGGTCCTCGCACTGGGCACCGGCGACGAGCCCTGGGGGAGAGTGGGCACCGCGGTCGAGTCCTCACACCGCCCTTTGTCCTCAGCTGCAGCCCGAGGTCCAGCGCTACGAGTGGGTGGTTATCAAACACCCAGAGCTGACCAAGCCCGCGTCACTGGAGTCCGCGTCTCTGGAGTCCGCGTCCCTGGAGTCCGCCACCGTTTCATCCTCCCCGAGCCACTCTCTGTCCTCTGAGAGCTCCGACCGCCTCTCGCCGTTCCTGGCTACTCGGCACTTCAACCTGCCCTCCAAGACGGAGTCCCTGTTCATGGCCGGGGGCAGCGACTGCCTCATCATAGGTGGGCGCCGCCCTCCACCTCCAGCCGGCTCCTGCCTGTCCACGGTCACTTAGCTGGGAGGAGGGTACAGGGTCATGGGTGCCGAAGCCCTGGGCCAGTCCTGGCTGAGCTGGGTGGTAGGTGCCTCACCTGAGGGATAGGCAGAGCCCCCTCAATGGCAGGAAGAAGGCGGCAGATCATTGTGGGTGGCGCAGGCACGTGGGCAGCATGGGGACCTGAGGCTGCGTGCTGGGGGATGGGGCACAGGTTGCCGTAGAAAGCAGCCCTGTGGTTTTACAGAGGCCTCTGGCAGGGCTGGACAAGGCCAGCCCAAGACTCGCCTGGTCTGAAGGGAGTGGCTCAGGAGCAGGAGGAGGGTCCCCCGGGGCAGCACTCGACAGCGGGCAGCCACTGACCGAGCGTCCCGCAGGTGGAGGGGGCGGCCAGGCGCTGTACATCGACGGGGACCTGAACCGGGGCCGCACGGGCCACTGCGACACTTTCAACAACCAGCCTCTCTGCTCTGAGAACTTCCTTATCGCTGCTGTGGAGGCCTGGGGCTTCCAGGACCCTGACATCCAGTGACGGCCATGAGCCAATGGTGACCAAGCTGCCGCTGCCGGGGCGGGGGTGGGTGGTAGCTGGGCCCCCCTCAGGGAGGTGGTGTTGAGTGAAGACCCCCACATGTGTGGGCACCGTCAGGGTGCAGCTGGGCACAGTGCTGGTCTAGGCAGTGGTGCCACAGCCACAGCTGGCCCTCCTGGACCTGCTGTACTTGCTACTCCTTCGCCCTGCACTCAGGCCCTGGCCGGCCTCTGGGCAGGCGTCCCGTGCGGGAGGCCGGGTCTATGGCCCCTGAGCCTCATTCCCCCGGGGTGAGAGGGTGCTGGGGCCAGCTGAGCCGGCCGGGGTGAAGGAGCCTGCTCAAGCGCAGGCCCGTGGCTCCCCCTGCTGGTGCCTCTGGGCATCTCCCGAGGAGGCCCTGCAGTTCCTGCCGGCCTGCGGCAGGCGGGGCCTTGGGGCTGTAGGTCCCAGGAGACCACAGGTGCCCTGTGGACTGTACCTGGTGGGCTCCCACCAGGCTCTTCTAGAGCCTCTGACTCAGTTCCCTCCTCCCTGGGGCTCCTCTAGGACAGGAGCCACCGGTGAATGAGCCGTGTGCAGGGCTCCGGGCCCCTCCCCAGGGTGGACCGAGGGCCGGAGGGGACGGTGCGTGTCCTTGTGTTTTTGCAGAGCCTGAAGCCTCTGCTGGGCCTCAGGGTAGAGTTACGCCTGGAAGGGCCCTCTGGGACAGACCCCACACCAGCCAGCAGTATTTCTGGGCCCTGCCTGGAGAAGCCTGGACCCACGGATCCTTCTGCAGCCTCCTCTTCTCCAGCTCCGGGCCTCCTTAGTTCCCCCAAACTCCCTGCTGTGGCCCCACTTGACTGCAGTGACCTGGCCGGGGATCTCATCTGACCCCCTACACACGCTGTCTTATCCCGCCTCCCCTCACCTGGTGCCACCTGCCCTCCCAGCTCCTTCCACATGGACCTTCCTGACCCACCATCTGTGTATCCGTCTCACACTGCCGCCTGGGCCTGCAGGGCGGCCCTCCACCTGTGACTCCCTCAGCTGGTCCTGAGGGCCTGGCCACCCAGAGGGAGGAAAGACGTGGACACTCCAGGGATCCTGCCCCCTCGGTGCCCCATGCGCCGCCGCTCCAAGCCTTGTGCTCTCCCTGCGGGGCGTGCATCCTCACTGCCCACCTCCTCAGATCTCCGCTGAGCCCAGCCACAGTGATATGGAAGGACACACCAGGAGCCCTGTGTGGCTTTGGGCAGGCCAGTGAACCTGTCTGGAACTCAGTTTCCCCAACTGTAAAATGGGCCATTCACCCTGTGCTGCAGTCCCCGCAGGGCTGCTGAGAGGCCTGCAGAGGGGAGAGGTGCTGGGGGTGGGGGGCAGCTTCCTCCCCAGACACCACAGCCCTCGCTGCCCCTCCTGGAGCCCCCTCAGCCCTCACCTGTGCTTCGGTGTTCATTAATCAGCTGTGTAAACTGCAGGGATCCAAGTCTGGTTTCTTCAACCAGAGGGACCTCCCAGGGCTCACCACCCGCCCCGGCTCGCCTCCTGCTTGTCAGTCCCGGTCACAGAACATCAAAGGCCTTTTCAAAACAGCCTTTCAGAAGCAGCTGAAGGCACACCTGAGCACCATTTCCTGCCCCTCGGTGAACCTCCTGAGCTGTGGAGTTCTTTTCCTGCTGAGTAATTCCGCAGGATTCTCTGAGACTGCCCCAGGCCCCCCCCCAGCTCGGCAGTGGTAGCTGATGAGTCACCATTTCTGTGTCATGAGATCTTAGTGTGCACGCGAGACACTCGCTTCCCTTGAGTTTCGTGTCTTCTCCCTAACTTTTCTGCTAAACTAAAAGGTATGTGTGATTATTATCTTCAGGTTTTTATTCTGATTACTGTCCTTGTTATCTGATATTCGGTCTTCCCAAATAGAGTGTAATTTATTTTGTTGACATTCTCTGTTATTTCTTCTTGATTACTATTAGCATTTTCTGTTAAAAATTAGCCAAAGTTTTATGGAATTGCAGAGTGAATTATCATTTGTTTTTCTAGAAACATTTGAAAATGTATTTTAGGAAAAAAATTGAACATATTTTAAACCAGTTCATTATCAAAGTAGACTGTATGCATTTAAGGCTTTAGAAAATCAGTTTTCCTAAAACAGCTTATATTACAAGAGTAAGTCCGTTGTATTTTATGAGTTTTTCCATTTTAATTATTGAATTAAAATAAGTATTCAATTTTCCCTATTTTTATACATTCTTTTTTTTTTTAGTTTTTCAGGACAACTTGTTTTAGAAAATTCTGAAGATTTCACAAGGTCTTCAAATTTATCAATTTCCTGAAGCCACAGAGCCCTTATAATAATCTCCTTACATACCTTATATTTAGGAGATTCAGTTTGTGTCGCTTTATTTTGAAATAATTTTAGACCTACAGAGGAGTTTCATGGAGGGTATAGAGCTCCCACCCCACCCCCGCCCACTCCCAGATCATTTATGAAACCCGAGAAATGAACATTAGTATTCACTGGAAACTTAAACTGCAGTCTGTATTCAGATTCCCTGTTTTTCTGTAGTGATTTTTGTTGCAGGAACAGATCTAATCTTCACAACTGTTTATTTTCCCACATTTTAATTAAATTCTGAATGTCATCAAATTCACCCAACACTGATTTTAGAAACACATTTCCATAATGAGGCCATCCAGGACTGTGTCACACGTGTTCCCACATCCTGACTGTCCTCCCCATGTCCTGTTTGCACAGAGAGGTCACCAGATCAGGCAGGAGTGCCGGGCACACCATGAAGTGCCTCACCCGACATCGTCAAGTTCGGCAGAAAGGAAAGCATGTGCATTTTTTAAAACAACCTGTTGTGGAAAAGGAGTTTATGTTCTTTGTTATATCCGTGTCAGACTGTGCTCAGAGTTAGGTGCAGGTCACGTGGCTTGTGACTGGCGCTGAAATGCCTCCCACGTGTGCAGACCACTCGTTTTACCCGACCACGGGGAATTCATCCACACTGTGCCTGGGACCAAGGAAGCAGAGTCAGCAGACACATACTGTGACAAGGGACACACCAGCTAACAAAAGCTGCCACCTTGGATCACTGAAGCCCAGGACTGGACACTCCATCAGGCTCCCCATCAGACACGACCCTGGTCAGAGGAGCCTGCGGGCCCGATCCCGTCCAGGGCCGAGCCCGTGCTGTCCCCATCCCTGTCTCTATCTTCACGCAGAGACACAGCCCTCCCCTGTTCTGTTTCACACTGAAGCACCTTGACTGGCAAAGGACACGTCAGAAGTTTACAAGCTAAAGAGGGAAAAGAAGGAAGAATTGTGTGAATAATTTCACCCTCTTATTGTCGTGTAGCATGGTCGTTGGCTGAAAAATGGATTACTGGACTGACAATCTGGAGCATTTCAATGAATGTAATAAAGAATTCCCAGGACCTGTGAAAATATGTGTGGTGATCAAATGTGGCAGTGAAGCAAAAATCCAACTTTGGAAAAAGTAAAAACAAGTGATTCAGTGATCTGTTTTGTCAATGTTAATTCTGAGCCCTAAATAAAGTTAACGAGGACAAATGGATCAACATCTCTGTGAAGTATTTGATACAAGAACATTTCAGAAGGATGGGAGTTCCTGAAGGAGGCACTAGACGTGACCATGACGGACAAGGAGAAGTTTCTCCATCGCCGAGGAAGATACCCTGCAATGCTGGATGGTGCCAGCCGAGGCTTCCCCTGACAGATCTTGTTCGTGGCTCCGGCACATGGACATGCTCCGTAAGTGTGAGGAATGGCCATCGGGAATCATGGCCCAAACTTCTCGGTCAAGAATTGAAAGGATCCTGGGACTTCCCTGGTGATCCGGTGGTTAAGACTCCACCCTTCCTATGCAGAGGACGCAGCTTCAATCCCTGGTTGGGGAGCTAGGATCCCATGTGCTGTGCGGCATGACCGAAAAATAAAAGAATGGCAAGGATCCCTGTCATGTGTAAAACTCGGCATCAAAAATAGTCATGCTCATCAAAATGAGACTGCTACCTGGAAGTTATGGAAGTCACCACCACCAGTGTCTTTTCTAAACCACATGCCTCTCAGGTGTGCATATATAACCACCGCCAGCACGGAAGACCTCTTCTCTCTGCCCACGCTCATGCACGTGCCCCTCCTCCTGTTCCTCCCAGGGCTGGCAGGCCACCAGCAGCCCTGCCATCCTGACAGAAGGCAGCCGAGGTGGCCGGACAGGCGCCCCCACTGTCCCCTCTTCCTTGGTGGTTCCCTCCCAAGACCCGCTGGTTCCTGCTCCTCAGCCCCCTCCTGCTGCCGCCTTGGGGCCCAGAAGTCCAGGCTGGGAGGGGAAGAGAGTCTTGGCCCCAGGGCTGCTGGAGCTTTGACACCAGCTGTTTCAGTTCCTCTTCTGAACCAAGAGCCCGGGTCTCTGGGCCATTTCCCGTCGTCAATGGGCTGCGAGCCCCTGCCCCGGGACACTTCCCCAGAGGCCCCCGGGGACTCCGCCGTTGGCCAGTGTGCCTACCCCTCCCCTGTCGGCCTGTGAGAGCCGGAGTCCTGTGGCCCTGCCTGCTGGTGGCCGAGGGCAGTTCTCACGGGCTGGCTGTGCACGCATCTCACATGACAGCATGGGTTCCTGGAGCCTGCGGTCCATTCCTCCTGCGCGGGGCTCAGGGCCCGCTGTGGGGACACAGGCCAGGGCTGGGCCCCGTGCCTCCCCGGGCGGGAAGACCCTCTGTCCTCCCACACCTCAAGAGGCCAGCCCCCCTCAGGCTGGGTCGCTGCCCTCTCCACCACCACCGCCTCACGTGGACCCCACTCTGGGCCGGGTCCAGGGTAACCCCAACAGGGTAACTCCAGCTTGAGCTCCCATCTGCAGCCAGCCGCGTAGGTGCTTTGTTTTACTGTCTCTTCAAACATTAAGATGGTTGCCTTCAAAGGGACTGACGGCGCAGTGGCCGTCACAGTGCTGTGCACCCACCACCTCCACCTGGCTCCCCCATTTTCATCCCCCCAAAAAGGGAACTCATTGAAACGCTTGTTCCCCATTCCTCCCTGTCTCCTGGTTTTTTAAAACAGTGAAATGTGCCCCTCATAGAAAATCAGTCCAGCACAGGATACCCACAGGGTGCCCGGGGCCCACTGCCTTCAGCAGCCCTGCGTGCACGTCCGGTGAGGCCCGTCCCTGTGCCCTCTCCCCAGCCAGCTGCCTGTCACCTGAGCGCACCCCAGGGCTCACCCACCGGCTCCCATCTCGCCAGCATCTGCCCAGCTTTCTGTGGTTTGGATGGTCTGTAATTTCAAGCACAGACAGGAATCTGTCTCTCCTTTGCTCAAACCTTCCTCATCTTTTAAGCCCTCATTAGAGATCACCTGCTGGGGGCTGTCTGAGCCTCGCGGGCCCCTCCCTCCTTTGTCGCTGATTTGGCATTGGGAGCTCACTGCGTCTAGCCGCCCCCCACTCACCCACCCACCCATACACACACCCAGGTAGAGTGGGAGCTCCCTTCCCCAATCTGTATCCCCGGAGTCTAGTTCAGCGCCCATACACAGTAGATGCTCAACATGGGCCAGACGAGTGACTTAGGGCCCAAGGCTGACTGTTGGAGCAGGGGAAAGTCGCACTGACCTTCAGGGTGCTGAGCCCACACCAGGCCAGACCGTGCCCTCGTGGGCACCCAGGGCTGAGGATTCATTCAACATCCTTTCCGCGAACCTGCTCACCGTGCCGGCTCAACGCCAACCCCTGGTCTACTGTAAACCCACGGGATCCCCCGCCCCGGCCCTGGGGAAAGAGCCGCACACCGCCACCTGGTGGTCGGCTCCGGCCCCGGCTCCCCGCCTGCTGCCAGTCTGGTGGTCACAAGAGTGGAGCCTCAATCAGACTGGGACTTCCCTGCTGGTCCAGTGGCTCAGACTTTGCGCTCCTGCTGCAGGGGGCCTGGATTTGATCTCTGGTGGGGGAGCTAAGCCTCCCCACAAACAGCTCAGCTCGGCCAAAAAGAAAAGAATCAGGCCCTGTCACGGCAGCCCTCAAAGCTGTGGTCAGTGAGAAGGGCTGCTCCATCCCTGGGATCACCCCCTTCCTCCACCTCTTGCCACTCTCGGCCTGACATCCAGCTGGAGTCGCTTGGGGGATACAGTTTCCCCTGCAGGGCTGGCTGCCCCAAGCTGTGCCTCGATCTGCCTATATAGAGGACAATTTTTTATTAAAAAAAAAACACCAAAAAACCATGTATCATTTTGTGAGCTCCAATTATTTAAATTATACTCCAAAAATCATCTTATTTATCCCACCCCTCCCCCTCTGATAGCACAACTATACTTTTTCTTCCATCTCCTCCCAACCAAGCCTGGGCCACACACGGCTCTTATCTAGCCATGTCAAGAGGGCCCAGTGCCCTCTCTCAGCGCCACACCCTCTGGTGTGTCTTCATGCTACTCAAGAGAAAAGGCTTGTCCACTGGGAGAGGGCACTCTAGTTGGACACACCCTGTTCAGTTTCCTGATTTTTTAATAAAGTTGCCACGTCAGGCTGCAGGACTCTCTTCTTTCTTCCCTGAAATGGCCTTCCTCAGGACAAGTTCAGCTTTCCAATCATCTGAGGCCCATTGCTACTCTATTCCTGGTCTCTGTCTCCCCGGCCATCCTCTCCCTTCCCTATGTGCAGTGATATGTGTTTACTGTGTAAGTTGCTTCAGTCGTATCCAACTCTTTCCAACCCTGTGGACCTTAGTCCGCCAGGCTCCTCTGTCTATGGGTTTCTCCAGTCAAGAATACTGGTGTAGGTTGGTTGCCACACCCTCCTCCAGGGGATCTTCCTGACCCAAGGATCGAACCGGCATCTCTTGCGGCTCCTGCATTGACAGACGGATTCTTTACCACTAGCACCACCAGGGAAGCCCTTCCTCTGCAAAGTGTCACTGAGTTTCTCTCTCCTACCATCTTCCAGTGCAGAGAGTGGGTTTGTTCACCTCCGTTAGAACCCTCAGGGAAAGTGGGACTCCACCCCGCATCTCTGTATATCTCTCCCTAGCAGGGTCTCTGGCTTGAGTTTCCCAAAGCTCCTCCTTTCATTTATTTGGCTGTGCTTGGTCTTCGTTGTGGCATGCAGACTCTTTAGTTGCAGCATGTGGGATCCAGTTCCCTGACCAGGGGTTGAACCTGGGCCCCTTGCATTGGGAGCGCAGTCTTAGCCACTGGACCACCAGGGAAGTCCCAGCACTTCCTTCTTTATTCCTGGAAATCCCCGCCCGCACTGAGACAGGCCAGCAGCTTGTGATGCTGTGACTTCATAGCAGGCGCCGCACAGCTGGCAGGGAGAAGGCAGAGGCGTGTGTCCCTGGCCAGTCCCTTCCTCATCCCCTGGATGTTCCCCCACCCCCAGGGCCTGCCTGGAGCTGGGAGGCCAAGGGGAAGGTGACCTGGGTCCCTCCTGAGTCTGTCACTGGTCACCAGACACTCCCTGACCTCTCAGGCAGGAAGCAGGCGGTGTAGAGAGCTGCATGGACCACGCTCAACCAGCGGGGCTTGAGTTTCAATTCCGCTCCTCATTAGCCGACTGACACCAGGCAAGGTGCTTCACCTTCCTAGACCTGCTCCTTGTCCACAGGATGAGGGTAACGGTGAAACCTTCCTCAAAGGATCATTAGAGGATTAGGTAATGCGCCCCCTCCCCTAATGCTTAGGGGGATGGTGAAGGATTCCCGAGAGGCTTGTCCGATGTACCCGTCAGGAAGGTCCCCTGAGACAGGGCGGGGAAGACTGGGCAGGTGGCCAGGTGAGAGGCTGTGCGGACACCCAGGGCAGAAGTGCAGGCCCGAGGCACTGGGGTGGGGGCACAGCTGAGAGCTGGGAAGCCACAGAACCTCGGGGTCTGGTGAGTAATGAAGAGTGAGGCAGCTGCCTGGATGGTTGGTTGTGCCTCTTGCTGGAAATGGAAATAACCCAAGGGGAAGCCGCTTGTGACGTGGGGGCAGGTGAGCTCAGTTTGAGGTGTCAGCGGCCCACTGGAGATCCACTGGGACCTCTCACACCAGAACTTGGGCAGAAAACCAGAAGCCAGTGAGCAGAGCCGAGCTGCCCTCTGCACCTGTGGGGGGAGCGGTCTCCCTGACCTCCCAGTCTCGGGACTTCAGCCATGGAGGGGTTCGCACGCTCTGCCACCGCCGTGCTTTTGGCTGTACAGTTGTCCGAGGGGGGCTGTCCTGCGCCTCCTTTCCTTAGGCTGAATTCTGCCCCAGTATGCAGCCTCCCCCACCCAGCCATGTCAGCTCCCTGCTCTGGGCTCCCCAGGCTGTGGACCCTGAGTGCCTGGAGTTATGGGGGCTGAGCCTGGGGCAGGCACTCAGGCACGTGCTTGCCCGGATGGCTTCAGGTGTAGAAATGTATGGCTGATCACCCAGGGCATGGCAGGCGGAGCCCTGAGAACACCCAGAACCTGCAGTGACGCCGAGGCTTCAGCACCTGGGCCCGTCTTTGCTTCTCCTTGTGACTCGAGGAAGGTCATGAGCACAGCAGGGCAGGTTGGGGGTGAATTACAGAGAGTGGAGGGGCGGGGAGGCGGGCAGCAGGCCGAGGCAGCAGACAGGCCCCTTCAGGGAGCCTGACAAACTGTCAGCTCGGTCACCAGCAACCTGCCAGGGCAGCGGGCTGGGGAGGAGCTGCAGACACTGAGTGAAGATTCCTCTTTCCAGAAGTCAGAGTCAGGCGGTGGAGGGCGGTGGGGAGGGCTCAAGCCGAATGGCGGCCTCCTCTCTTTGCAAACAGGACAGACATGACACTCAAGGGCTGCAAGTTTGCCGCTGGGGGTGGTGCAGACCCAGCCTCACGGTGGAGAAGAGGCTATGAGGGAGGTTCCTGGTGTGGAAGATGGGTCCAGTGGGAAGACCAGGCCAGAGGTAGTGATCCCGCTGCCCACATGGAGAAGGCTGATGACTGCTACAGCTCAGGCTGTTCACGAAGAGTGCTTTAATGTCAGGGCAAGGGGTGGGACTCAAGGGAGACCCAGGATCAGATGACAGTCACCCAGGGCTCCTGAAATGGACCAGATGAAAGGGCAGAGGGAACCAGAGCTGGTGGGTAGAGATAAGGCAGCCAGTCGGGGTACCAGGATAGCCACATGAGACTATCACGGCAGTCCCAGCCCCAGGCCAGACCGTCTGCTAGCCTCAGAGGGAACCACTTACTGCTGTTCCAGAAATAAGGGCAGCCCTGGATTCGTGGGCTTGCGGTGGGAACAGGCAGGACAAGGGACCCCAGACGCTTCAGCCATCTGGGGAAGACTGCACAGGTCGTGCAGGGTTTCAAAGCAACCATGCCTACAAGCTGAGGGGTAGAGACAACTCCTCCAAAACAGCAGTCTAGGTCCCTGATGCAAAGGAGGGCACAGATGCTGGGTAGGGGCCCTCCTTTTCCTCGGAAGCCACGGGAGAAATCCCGAATTGCTAGGCGGGGGCCGGCGAGTTTGGAAGAGACTGGAGACGGGGTCGACAGGGGACGGGGATGGTTGGGGGCGGCGCTACCGGGGACACGACTCCGGCTCCGCCCTCAGGTCACCCCGGAGGGTGTGAGGACGTTGGGGGTAGACCGCACGCAGTCCTGAGTCCCTGCGGGCTGGACCGTGAGAACCCCGCGGCCGGGCTCGACACGGAGACCGTAGAAAAAGGCTTCGCTCGTAACCGAACCCCCGCGGGGCCGCGCAGCCGCAGAGAAGGCGGGGCGCCGAGAGCCCCGCCCCGTATGCTAATCAAGGCGCGCCCCCCCCCCACCGCCCCGGCCCTGCGACCGGACGGGCCCATCGCGGCGGGGTCCCAGGGGCGCCCGCGGCGGCCGGCGCGGGGCGGCGCGCTGGGGTGCAGGCCGGCGGGGCGGGGCGCCCGGAGTCCCCGCCGCGGCCCCCCCTCCCGCGCGGAGTGGTGCGGGCCGAAGGGGCGGGGCTCCGGTCATGTGACGCGGCCGCGGCGGCCATTTTGTCCTGCGGTGCTGGTATTTAGAGCGCAGCGGCTGACGGGCCGGGTCGCCTTCGCATCCGCCGGACAGCTCGTCTCGCGCAGCCCGCTGCTCGCCGCGCCCGGCCCGACCTCGCCCCGGCCTTGGCCTGCTGATCTCGCCCCCTCCCCACCCGCAGACATGTCCGAGGCCAAGAGCGGCCCCGAGTACGCTTCCTTTTTCGCGGTCATGGGCGCCTCAGCCGCCATGGTCTTCAGCGGTGAGCGCCGTGGCAGGAGGGACCCGGGAGACGGGGGACGCGCGGGGCTCGTGCCTGTTGCTCCCCGGGGTTCGGCGTGTGACGTCATTCTGACGTAATTTCGAGCTGTTGGGGGGGTGTCCCGGGTCTCACGTGACTGCGGGGGGTGGGGTGTCGGGATCCTGAGGGCTGCAGGGGCCGTCGGGTGTCTGGAGAGCGGGGCCTGCGGACTCGGCCCAGGTGTGGGTCCCAGGGTGTCCCGGACAGCCACCTGCCAGCTGGTCTCGTCGGTGCGGGGGAGGGGTGGCGGCGCCGCTGCCATCTTAGTCCCCGGAGAGGCGGGAGCAGACTGGGGTGGGGGCCCGCGGTCCTGCGCTTGCTCCGCACCCGCCCCCCGCCCATCTTGCTGGCAGGTGTGACATCACGCCTCGGAAAGCTGCCCCCACAAGGGGCCGGCCCTTGGGTGCTCCCCGCGGAGGTCCACAGCCCTCGCCCTTGTGGCGGCCTGCCCCCCGCCTCCATGGGGCAGCGGGGGTGGGGGGCGATCAGGTGGGTCTGCACTTAAGCAGGTGCTTCCGGTTAGGGCTTGTCAGTGTTTCCCAACACTAGGCTGTGTGGGTTGGTAGGAAAAGCTGGGTTGAGAGGTTGGTCTTGAGAGCAGGGCAGGAACCCAGAGGTGGGAGTGGAGCCGAAGGGTGGAGGTGGGTCAGACAGGCCGAGGGCGCAGGGTGGATGTCCGGGGAACAGGCCAGTCTCCGCACTGTGTGTGTGGACGCTTTTCTGAATGGGCAAGTTATCGTGGAGCCTCAGCGTTGAGGGGGTTGAGCTTTTTTCCTTGGGAGGAGTCTTCATTTCAGGCCTGAATGAATGAATGACCTTTCTCCCCTTCCCTGAGGCCTGGAATTGGGAGGGGCTGCCTCAGGAATGGAGAAGGGGGCCTTGCAGGGTTCTAGGTGGCCCTCTAGTTTTGAAGTGGGGTCTTAATAGTCCTGGGTGTAAAATTCAGTGAAAATTGGTCTTTCTGGGCGAAGAGCACTTGGACCCAGCCCGGGATGTGGGATCCAGGGAAGTGAGTCCTGACCACCCTACAGCCCCACCGACTGGTTTGGCCTGGTCTAGTCCAGGCTTCCTTGGGTTCGTCTGGTTTGGGGCTTTGATGACTCGCTCTGCCCCACCCTATCTGGGACTGGAGAGGCTCCCTGTGCAGGTATGTGCAGGGATTGAACTCCAAACAGTCTCTGCTGACTGTAAACACCAGTGGGCTGGGGGCGTGGGGACCTTCCTCTGCCCAGGCCTGCCTGCTGCAGGTCACAAGCCGCTGAGTGGGCACTGCCCTTCCCATCAGGTCGAGTTAGGGGTCATTTGTGGTGGGAGAGATGCCTGTACTTCCCCTTCCACCCTGGGTGCCGCCCACTATTTCCTCACCTTCCAGAGCCGCCTGTGCCCGCTCCTTGCTGCAGGGAGCTGTACCTCCTTTTCCTCCAGTCTCTTGCTGTTTGCTTCCAGAATACCTCCAGGGCCGGTGCCTGGCCACTTGTGGGTTGTGTCTGTCATTGGCCATTCAGCCAATCTCAGTTGAACTCCTGGGTGCCAGACACTGGGGGACATCAGTGAGCAAGGCAAGAACATTGCCCACATGGAATGTGAATTCTGGCTTTGTTTCCCCCCAAGCCTTTTTATGTATCCAGCTCCTGGCCTCCTTCCGGGCACCAGGTACCTCGCTTCTCCCTCTTTCTAGAACTTACTTGGTGCCTTTGAGCGGAGCCCTCACCAGTAGGACTTTGAAAGTTCCTGAGAATAGGGTAGCAGTGGTCCAGGCTCTTGGGGGTTGGGGGCCACCTGCTCTGCTTGGCTTGTACACAGCTCCACCCTTCTCTCTGCCCCATAGGCGGCTTACTGTGGCCATGCAGTCGCCAACTCTTTACACTTGTCCAACTGGGTCAAACTCTGGTTTCATTTCTTTCTTGAGCCCATTTCTCCAGGACTTGTCTTCATCCACCTCCTTGTGCCTGCCTGCAGTTTCCAGGCTTCAGGTGTTGCCAGGATGACGGCAATCTGTGTCTGCTACCCTTGGCTCAGATGCTCCTGGCCTGCCTGGATGGGATGAGGTCCATGCTGGATCCCCATCTCCCATTCCAGCTTCCCCTTTTTTTCTTACTTTGTGACCCAAGTCTTGTAGATTGTTTCTTTGTCCTGTTCCCGCAGGCCCGTCAGTGGCTTCCTCCCTACTCGTGGACCTGCAGAACCATCTCCTGATTTCTCTCTGTCTTGCACCATCTGGAACCGCTTCCGGCCTGGCCTGTGGAGCTGGTGTCCAGGCCTGCCCAGACCAGGCTGCTTCTCCTTCTGACAGTCTTTCTGTTCCTCCCCCTCGTTCCTCTGGTTGCTCCCCACCCCCAGCCACATTATCTCTGTGCTGCCCTCTGTGGGGATAGGCCCAGCTCACTAGCTGACTCCCCAACTGCAGCCTTGCTGGGCCCACTGCCTGGGATGCTGGCTTCCCTGTAAGGTCTCACCCGGCGCCATGCAGCAGCCTGTGCCCGTGCCCTTGCCCTTGAGTAATGAGCCCCGGCACTGGCCTGCTGTGGTGCTGCGCCTGCAGGAGGCAGCCAAAAAATTCCCTGTTGCTCCAGGAACGGCTTCATAAAGACCAGCACCTGACGGCCCGATGTCCGAGTGCGTGGGGCAGCGGCAACCATGCAGGTCCTTTGCCCTGCCCCTGCTGGCTGTTTCCCTCTGCTCCCTGCCCAGTGTCTCTGCTCCATGTGGTCTGGAATTGTCTTTCTCTTGCCCTATCTTTCTATGTCCGCCACCTCACTGGCATCCCTCCACTCAGTTAGCTCCTGTATGAAGCCCTTGCCCAGACCTCCCCACTCTCCTGAATGTGTTGCTGTGCTTGGATGGCTGTTATCTGCCTCCTCATCAGGCGCAGAGCCCCTCTGGCCTCACCGCTGCTCTGCAGTGAGTGCAGACTAGTCATCTAGCCGCCCAGCTAGGTGAGTCAGGTCCAGAGGAATGTCTGCAGCTGTCCTGGCCCTGCCACCTCTGCCCCAGGTCGGCCCCTGCTCAGCGCAGGAGCAGCCTCGGGGGCAGGCAGCGGTCAGGTGTCCTGTTTGGGCTTTCTCTGGCTTTCCCTTGTGTTTGCAAACGTTTTTCTAGACTTGGAGGACAGGCAGGAGGAGGGGGGTTTCTGGAAGGCAGTCCACCCTGGGAAGAGGGAGGAGGGACGATGGCTGGGGAGACGGGAACCCTGTAGTGCCTAGACACCCGCTCCCGCCTTACCGGAGAAACTGGGCTGCTCAGAGCTGTCTGCGGAGGCCTTGGGGTCGGCCTGGGTGATGACTTCACAGCCCAGTATCCTTCCTGTCCCTTGTTTTCTTTGATTGCCTTTGTCTGGTTGAGATTTTCCTCGAACTCGAGGGTTCTGGCCTGCTGTGTGCCAGGAGGGCCTTTCCTGATGGAGCTCTCAAACACACCAGCGCTGGGTGCAGCATGTTCTGGGGCCGGAGCTGTGGGGACTGCCGCGTGCCGGGTGGGGAGTGGACGAAGTTCTGGCCTAGAGCGCGAGTTGCCAGGCCAGCTTTCCCTGACCTGCCCTGCAGGGGCTCTGTGTGCTATTTTGATGTGGTCCCAGGGTTGGTGGGCTGACCCTGGCTAGACTTCTCAGCCATTGAGATATGCAGCTTGTGCTTTTCCAGGCCTTTCCTGACTTGGGAACGAGCCTGGAACCCCAGACAGGCGAGAAGCTGCCTGAAATCTGCACTGCTGCTGGGGCCCAGCTACCTGTTTGCCCGTGTGGCAGGGCAGCCTGTCCCAGCGCCCCTTTAGGGGTCTAAGGCTCTGTGGGAGCGTGGGATCTGTGTAGCAGGCCTGGGGAGTGCTGGTGAGCCTGGGGTGGGGTTCCACAGGAACGAAAGAGCCCAGGTAGGCTAGACAGCCAGGAGAGCCTCTGGGGGAGGGACAGAGGAGACCCCAAGTGCTGGCCTGTGGCCGGTCTTTCCAGAGGCCACCTCCGGCTCTCTTGCCCTCGGAGGTGAGAACTTGCATTGGCCCTGGAATACACCAAAAGCTGCCTGCCGGGTCCTGGCCCCAGGTTCTCTGGGCTCACCTCACTTTCTCCTGCCAGCCCTGGGCGCTGCCTATGGTACAGCCAAGAGCGGCACAGGCATCGCAGCCATGTCTGTCATGCGGCCAGAGATGATCATGAAGTCCATCATCCCGGTGGTCATGGCCGGGATCATCGCCATCTACGGCCTGGTGGTGGCAGTCCTCATTGCCAACTCCCTGAATGACGGCATCAGTCTCTACAGGTGAGGGCCGGCTGGCTCTCCCCTTGCCTGCCTGGGTCGAAGCTGTGGGCGGGGAGGGGCCTTGGGTGGGCTGCTGGTGTCCGGTGGTGGACTGACGTGCCTCCTGTGTCCTCTCCCCCCCAGGAGTTTCCTTCAGCTGGGCGCGGGCCTGAGCGTGGGCCTGAGCGGGCTGGCAGCGGGCTTCGCCATCGGCATTGTGGGGGACGCGGGCGTTCGTGGTACCGCCCAGCAGCCGCGGCTCTTCGTGGGCATGATCCTCATCCTCATCTTCGCGGAGGTGCTTGGCCTCTACGGTCTCATCGTCGCCCTCATCCTCTCCACAAAGTAGCCCTGCGGGCCGCCAGCCACAGAATACGATTGATGTCAAGACCACCCCCTCCTCATTCCACAACAAACAGCCTGACACACACGCACGGGGCAGCCGCCCGCCAGTAGTCGGTCTTGTAAATGCGCAGTGTCCTAGTGCCCACCGTCTGTTGCCCCAGCCTCGCCCTTGCCCACCCCGCCCCGTGCTGTGGACATCTGGGCCCACCAGTTCCCATCCCGGCCCTGACCAGTGAGGACCCGGCCTCCGGCCGCCCCCACCCATCTGCCCTAGAGTGCTCTGTGTATAAGGATGAATTAGAGTTGTCATTTTCTCTTCACTGGATGTTTATTTATAAAGATTTGACCTGTTCATACGTCTGTGGAGCAGCTCTCCGTTTCCCAACTCTATAGTAACCTTAGGTAGACTGTTGTTGCGTTGTGCGGTTACCGTTTACCCTGAGACCCGTTGGATGGAACCACCTCCTGCAGCCCTGGCTGCCCTGGGCCGCGGGCCAGTGTGCCGGGCCCGTGGGCCCTGGCGCTGCTCTGTGTCCAATAAAGCTCTCAGATGTGACCGGATTCCTGTGTGTGTGTGGGTCGCTGTCTGGGCCCCGGCGCCGGGGCGGGACGCCGGGAGGGAGGGGCGGAGGGCGGTGCTGAAGCCGCTGCCACGTCACTGCGGGCCAAGCGGGTCACGTGGGCGCGCCGGTCACGTGGCTGCGCCTCCGTCAGCTGAGGGTCACGTGGGCCAGGCCGGAACCCGGCGCCTCCCGCTCGGCTGGGCTCAGGATGCGCGGCGGGCAGGGCGCGGCGCGGGCCCCGGTGATCCAGTTCACCAACTGCCGCATCCTGAGGGGTGGCGCGCTGCTCAGGTGGGCGCGGGTGCGGGGCGGGGGGCGCGGGCGGGCTACGGGCCGGCGACGCGAGCCCCCGCCCGCTCTGTGTGCAGGGAGGACCTCTGGGTGCGCGGGGGCCGCATCCTGGACCCGGAGAAGCTGTTCTTTGAGGAGCGGCGCGTGGCTGACGAGCAGCGGGACTGCGGCGGTTGCATCCTGGCGCCCGGCTTCATCGACGTGCAGATAAACGGTGCGGCCCGGGCCCGCGGGGCGGGGACCCCGAGGGGGAGCTCCGAGCCCTGGGCGACCCCCTCTTTTCTGTGGCCGCAGGTGGGTTTGGCGTTGACTTCTCACAGGCCTCGGAGGACGTGGGTTCGGGGGTTGCCCTGGTGGCCCGGAGGATCCTGTCGCATGGAGTCACCTCTTTCTGCCCCACGTTGGTTACATCACCACTGGAGGTTTATCACAAGGTGAGGTTAGGCTCCCGGCCTCAAAGGAAGGAGGCTCCGTGAGCACCTGGCCTCTTGATTTTCAAATCTTATCTCTTTGGGTCAGCCACCACCCGGTTGGCATTCGAGCCTGGCCTCACCTGCTGGCCACCTTCCCCCCGGGCCTGGGCCCCTCTCCCGGTCTTTCTCATCCAGGTGGCCCTCTGGCTGGTCTGCCATTGCGGCGGTGCCCGCGGGCTTCCGCGTTCCGAGCCTCAGCACCTTCACCTGCCACACAGCCCTCCCCAGCCTGCACGCCGGCCGCCTCCAGGCACCAGAAACCCGCCTCCGCTCAGTCGTGTGTGTCCGTCCCCTGCCCCAGGGACTTTCAGATTGCCACATCCTAGCTGCTCATCCCCCAAAGCGGTCTGTAGCAGGCAGCTCCTGGGAACAGCTTTCATAAAGGAGCCCCATTGTCCACCCCAGGCTTCCTCTGCTGCTCTGGTCCACACCCCCTAATCTTCACTTCTTTAAGTTTTGGGATTTAGTTGTCCAAGGTCCATTGTTCCTTTAAGAAGTTTCACTCTGTACCCAGGTTTTCTGGTTTTGCTCTTTATCACATTGTATTATTCCGTCTTGTCTTGTTCTGTATATTGTTCTGTTTCTCTGAACTGTTGCAGGCATACACCATGCCTGTTTATTTGGTACTAAACTTTTTCAAACGCTTGTGGTAACACGAATAGCACAGAGTTCTTGAGTTCTCAAAGTTAATCAGGTTATCCTTTCCTCTACCTTTTAGGTCCCAGTTCTGTAGTTTTCCTCCAGAACAGGGTCCAGCCCAGGATCCCAGGTTGCCTATCTGGTACCGGGTCCCCATCTGGGATGTGCACATACTCACAGCCAGGGCTGGGGGAGGTTGGCCACACTCCCTGGGTTCAGTCCCAGCCTGCTGACTTCATCTGTCAGCTGAGCAACACGGGACATTCATTTCTTGTTTCCTAGTTTCATTTTCGTCAAAACTTAAACAAGGTTTAAGGTTTGAAGAACAACAGTGGAATCCATCTATTAGTGTTGTGTGCTCAGCACTACACTCGGTTCATATTAAGCCTCTGGTAGATGTCAGCTGCGCACATCTTTCAGGAAATTTCCCTCGACTCTCTCATCACAGAGTCCGGTGTCAAAAACCAAGCTGAGTTTCCTGCTGCAAACTTGCCCCATTTCTGTGTTTTCTCTCTTAGTCATCAGGCCGTGATCTTCCTGCTCGGGACCTGGGAACAAATCCACTCTCTTGCTCCCTTATTTTTTGTCCTCATCTCTCTGGTCCCCATCAGGGGGTGCTTAGTGGCTGTTATCCAGTCTCCCACTGCTGTCCCAGCCCTGCTCCTGCCCAGGTGTTTTCCACGGGTGCCTGGCTCTGCACATCACCCACCCCTCTCCAGCTCCCCTGCAGCAGCCCAGGCAGCTCTCTCCTTTGCCCCCCAGGTGTTCTGCCCGGAAGGCCTTTGCTTTGCTCTGTCGGCCCCAGTGGTGGGCGCCTGCAGCTTCTTTACAGCACCCTCAAGGATCCTGACCTTAGGGAAGGAGTTTCCGGCCAGTAGGGCTTCCATCTTAACGTTTTCTTCCCAGCACTGGTCACCCCTCAGAAATGCCTTGGGAGGTAGATAGTAAACTGATTTGTGGAGGAAATTGAGGAGGGCTTTGAATATGAAAATGTTAATACAAGGTGATCGCCGTAGAAGCTACAGGACCGTTCACTTGCAGGCCCCCACGCGCTGCTCCTGCTGTTCTGCCCGCCTTCTTCCAGGGTCTGTTCACAGTGGGTGGAACTGGATTGCTAGTTGGTCAGAAGTTCTTCAGGTCCACTGAGGCCACCTGCTCTTTCTCTGGGGTCTCCTCCTCCCACCTTGCTCTTTCCAGGAGGAGGGTCAGAGCGCCTTGTCCTCCACTCAGCCCCACTGCCTGCTGAGTCAACGTCAGGCACCTCAGGGTGACAGCCAGGCCCTCTCTACCTTGCCCTTTCTGCTGCCTTCCTGCTTCGCACGTGCCTCATTCCCTTCGCTCCAAGACTGTCTGTTCTGTCGGTCTTTCTCTTTTAAAAAACTTTTCTGGGAAAACTCAGCCATTATCTCTTTTTCTTATTTTCACTCTTTAACTCTGTAGTGAATTTATGTGTATCACTTGGCTCGTTAGGAAAAACTTCAGCCCTTTGCTCCCACCAGTTCCCTCCAAAAGAGGGTCACTTCCCACTCAGCTAACCTGTGGAACTTGTCTCCACATCTCTGAAAGTTGTACCGATACTCCTGTTTTTTGGTTTACGGTAGTGTAAACGGGCTGGGAAAGATGCACGTTAGCTTCTTGGCAGCCCCCGGCCCTGTCTCACGTCCTTCTAGCCCCCACCCTCCCCAGAGTCTCCCATGGTTCTGATTCACTCAGTTATCAAGACATGCAAGTCATTTTCTCGTCTGTCAGCTCTTGTTTTCCTTGGAGTTCACCTTCTTTGTTTGCTTAGATTTTTGATCTGCTGACTCAGCCCCACAGTTTCAGCCCGGTGTCTCCTTCTGGGTTCAGAATTTTCGGGTTCCGCATAGGTTCCATCCGTCCTGTCTTCCTGTGGGAGCTTTAGCACCCTGCTCTCGCTGCACTGGCTGCCCATGCCCGCCTGGACACCAGTGAGGCGTCCGACTCAGCCTGCCTATTTCCTGTTGTCTTTGTCCCACTGAACTTAAGCCTCTTAAAAATCCCTGTCCTTCTCCACGTTGAAGGGGGGTGTGGGCTGGGACTCCTGCCTGCTTTGTCCACCTCTGAGATGTGTCACCTGAGCGCCTGTCACACAAAGGTGACTTGGCCCCTGGTGTTCAGACCCGGGCACAGTGTGGCCGCACCCTTGGTGCCTGAGCTCTCCGGCCACTCAGCGCTGCCTCGGCGCCTCGCTCTGCCTGGATGGCGTGCACGCCTCCTGCCTCAGCCCCACTTCCTGGGCCTGCAGCTTGGCAGCGTCAGGCTGGTAGCCCTGGCTGGGTCCAGGCCTTGGTGTGCGGTCCGCTGCATCCTGGCTGCTGTCTGACGGGGCCGCCTTGAGTACCCTGCTGCCTCGCTCCTGCCCCCTGCCTGGGCGCTGTCTCCATGCCTCTGGGTCATCTCGGGCAGGCCAGTCCTGAGTCCCCAGGTCATTTCTGGATTGCTGTGCTTCCTGTGGTTGAGGCCTTCAACCATCTTCTAACACCTGAGGGCAGGCCAGCAGGGGCTGGGCTCTGAACTCCGGCCTCTAACCTTGGTTGGGCTGTGTAACCTCTGGGTGCTGGGCCGTGGGGGCAGGGCTTTAACAGCTGGTTCCCCCCAGGTCCTTCCTCAGATCCCCGTGAAGAGTGGTGGTCCCCATGGGGCAGGGGTCCTCGGTGAGTGGCTCGCCCCTCTCCCCGCCCCTACCCTGGGAGGCTCCTTGGGGACCTGTTGGCAGCCCCTCGCCTTCCAGATGCCCGACCAGGGAGGGAGGGCAGGCAGGCAAGAGGGGCCAGGGTGGGGGCTGCAGGGCGGAGGGCCTGCTAGAACCAGCCCCTCCCCTCCCCCCAGGGGTGCACCTGGAGGGCCCGTTCATCAGCCGGGAGAAGCGGGGCGCACACCCGGAGGCCCACCTGCGCTCCTTTGAGGCCGACGCTTTCCCGGACCTGCTGGCCACCTACGGGGGCCTGGACAATGTCCGCATCGTGACGCTGGCCCCCGAGCTGGGCCACAGCCACGAGGTGATCCGGGCGCTGACGGCCCTCGGCATCTGTGTGTCCTTAGGTAAGGGAGGGGTGCGTCCTTGCCTCAGGGGGTCTGCCCCGGCTCCCAGAGCTGAGTCTGAGTCTGGGTCCCCGCAGGGCACTCGGTGGCTGACCTGGGGACGGCAGAGGAAGCTGTGCAGAGTGGGGCCACCTTCATCACCCACCTCTTCAACGCCATGCTGCCTGTGAGTCCCAGGCCTGCTCTGGAGGAGGGGGGCGGGGCCCTGCTGTCACTCACTGCCCCCTCCTGCCCCCACCCAGTTCCACCACCGCGACCCGGGCATCGTGGGGCTCCTGACCAGCGATCGGCTGCCCGCAGGCCGCCGTATCTTCTATGGGATGATTGCTGATGGCATACACACCAACCCGGCCGCCCTGCGCATCGCCCACCGGGCCCATCCCAAGGGTGAGTGGCAGAGCAGGATGGGGCGGGAATGGGCGGGAAGACCTGGTGGGGCAGGTCCTGAGGCCCCTCCCCCTGCAGGGCTGGTGCTGGTCACTGATGCTGTCCCTGCACTGGGCTTGGGCAACGGCCGACACACGCTGGGGCAGCAGGAGGTGGAGGTGGACGGGCTGACAGCCTATGTGGCAGGTAAGTGACCCCGTCCCCAGCACTGCCAGCCAGACACTCGGCATGCTGGTGGGACGTGAGAACCCGGGTGTTCGCTGCTGACCCCCGGGGTGGCCTGGGCACCTGGTGTCCTCCCCCCGCTTCCCGCCCCCAGAACCTGCCCTCTCTTCTCTCAAGGCACCAGCACGCTGAGTGGCAGCATCGCCCCAATGGATACTTGCGTGCGGCACTTCCTGCAGGCCACAGGTCAGTGAGGCTGGGGGTGTTGCCATGTGTGTGCCCCGCGGTGGGGCAGAGGCTGCCTCTGGGAGAGGCTGGAGGCAGGGCCTATGTCTGGTGGGGTCCCCAGGAATGTGGCCACGGTCCCTCCTGCATGAGGTTGGGTCAGAAGGAGAGGGCGGCACGAACCAGCAGAGGGCCGGCACGCAGAGCGACTGGCCCTGGAGCCACAGCACCCAAGGGTGGGGCCTGTGAGACTGTGGCTGCAGAGCTGGGGGCTGGGGGCTGTGCTCCAGGGTTGGCACGTTATGAGGGGGAGGGGTGGGTGTCTGGCAGAGGCTGTGGTGGGCCAGGCCCTGCGAGGCTCTACGCAGTGCCCTGGGGCTGGGGTGTCAGGCTGGGGGGAGCACTGTGGTCCAGGATGCTAGTTGGAGGAGCAGGGAGACAGGTTAGGAGGCAGATGACAGCTTGGGGAGTGAAGCAGGGGCTGGAGAGAACTGGGGTACCAGCAGCATCCCCAGGTTGGGGGGGAGGGGGTTTTGAAGTTCCAGGGCTGGGGGGCACCCTGTTGGGGACCCTCTTCACACCATGCCCCACCCCAGCCCTGCAGGGACCCCACTCACAAAACACTTGGGGCCCAGATGCCTTCAGCCCCTCCCCTTGGCTTCCAGAGAGAGCACCCTTTCTGGAAGCAGGACCCCGGGCGTCCGGAGGCCACCCAGGACTCGGTCTGCCCCTCCCCCCGACCCCCACCCCGTCGAGTGGCAGAGCCAGCTGGGGGTCGGGGCTGGTCACCACCACCTGTGTCCCCAAACAGGCTGCAGTGTGGAGTGTGCTCTGGAGGCCGCGTCCCTGCACCCAGCACAGCTGCTGGGGCTAGAGAAGCGCAAGGGGACCCTGGACTTCGGGGCTGACGCAGGTCAGGGCACAACAGGGGGTGGCCCGGGGGTTCCCAGGAGGCCTGGGACAGGGCCAGGGTGGGGGCAGGTGGGCCAGAGGCAGGCGCTTCCTCATTCCCAGGGGCTTTGCCTGGCCAGGGCCTTGGTCCATCCCCCTTCCCCCTGGGGCAGGCCAGGACTTCTGGCTTCCGAGATGGGCCTGGCAAGGATGTGTGGGAGCACTGTTGGCTGCCCTCTGCTGCCAGGAGCCTTGCTCCCGGGGCCTCAGTTGGTCTGTGATGGGCCAGGGTGTCACGCGGAAATCGTGTTCTGGGCCTCGGTTTCCGCTGCCCTCCCCCCCTCCCAGCCTCGTGGTGGGGCAGCGGCGACCCTGCCTCTGCCCGCTTCTCACCACCCCACTCTGACCCAGACTTCGTGGTGCTCGACGACTCTCTTCACGTCCGGGCCACCTACATCTCGGGCGAGCTGGTATGGCAGGCGGAGGAGGCCAGGCCGTGACCCAGGACCACCGTTGGAGGGGATGCCCAGCCCCAGCTGGACACTGTCGGCTGTGCATCGGGGAGCTGGTCTCCAGAGAGCGAAGGGAGCCCCGGCCCAGGTGGAGGCCTCGGCCCAGAGGCGGCGGCTTGGATAAATGTGTGCCCCGTAGGGACGCGCCTGGTCTCTTGAGTTTTGCTTCACAGTGGGACTTTGTTCCACCCTCACCCCGTGGCCCTTCGGTGGGGGCGGGTGGGTATCTGTCCGTTAGGGTTGGGAGTGGCCGCTGCACCCTGCCTGTGGGATTCTGGGGCTCAGTGGAGGCAGCGGGACCCCTCTTTGTTAGACAGATGTGTTGGAGGCCTCAGGCCCACAGGCAGATGGGCCGGTTGCAAAGGGGTGAAGAGCTGGAGGAAGGGGCTTAGGGAGCAAGTGTGAGGGTTGAGAAGTTTGCCTGTGGTGCTGAGGGAAAGGGAGCTACATCTTGGAATGTTCAGGAAAGAACAGGATCCATTGCTCCTGGAGACAAGGAAATGGTGGAAGGAGCTGGGGAAGGGAGGGGCCTCCAGTGGGCACCGCAGAGGGTTTGGGAGGCAAGGGTGTGCTGTGGGTCATTGTCTGCACTCTTGAGTTGGGTGGGCAGAGTGGAGGCCCAGGGCCACAGTGCTGGACCTCGACCCAGCACTGGGCCCTCCTCTCTGACCTCCAGAGTAGTCTGCACTGGCCTTGGGGCCCCTGCGCTGACCCTGGTCAACCTCCCCAACCAGCAGTCCCACGCTGCCTTGAGCCCTTGGGATAATTAGGGCTCCAACCCCACTTCCTGACCCGACTCCTGAGCGGATGCAGTGATCCATGTGCCCCCAGGGTTGGCAGAAATGTGGGCGACCCTGCCTGGTGCTGGTGGGCAGCTTGGGATCCTCAGTGTGTGTCCGCCACCCTACCTCTGTGTTTGTCCATCAGTGTCATCCTGTGCCTTCTCTGGCCCTGGCCCTGGCAACAGCCCCCCCATGCTGGGAGCGTGGGCTCTTGGGCTCCTTGGATAGAACAACTTTGAGGTGTGGGGCGGGGGATTTGGGGGTGCCCTGCTGGCTCTGAGGACCATGACCTAGCAGGGGTTAGTGCAGCCCCAAGCCTGGGGTCGTCTTGACTTCCCTTCGTTTGGGTCCTAGGTGGGCGCCCCTTCCCCCTTCACAGGGGAGCAGGTCTGGGGCAGAGTTGTCCACGGCCCCAGCCACTGCTCCTGCCTCCAGACACTAAAGGAGATGTCTGGGCCCAAGTGGACAAAGGTGGTTGCAGGTCCCAGCGACTTCTGGGAAGAGCAGCCATGTGATGCAGCGCTGAGGGGTGATCTGGGGCTGGGGGCCACCTGCCAGAGGAACATAAGCCCCTCCACCTGCTCAGCCCAAGGCCTCCTCCAGGTGTTCCAGTGTATTACCCCCTCCCTTCCTTCTGTCTGTCCACAATCCAAAGGGGGTGTTCCTGTTTGTCAGCCTCATTTGTCAGCTGGGGAAGTGGGAGCATGGGGTCCCAGGGCTGGTGAACATTGGCCAGAATGTGGCCTGACTGTCTGCCTGGGGGCTTCTGATAATGCTGCCTCTGCAGAATCACGGAGGGGCCCATCGACGTGGTGGTCGGGGGGGGGGGGTGACATCAGGGAGGGTGGGCTGGAGGCTAAGGGAACTGCCCTGCCCAGGCCCAGGGCTCAGGCTTAGTGTGGGGTTGGAGGGGGTGACTTTGGGGCTGGAGAGGAACTGTGGCATGGGGAACTGAGCCCTGCAGCTGGACTGGGAGTGTGGGCTTTGAGGTGGGGCATTGGGGTATTTTTTTTTTTTTTGATGTTAAATACACGGATCATTCGCCATTGTAACCATATTGAAGTGTAGAGTTCAGTGGCGTTGAGTATGTTCACATTGTGCAGCATCGTCTCCAGGTCTCCACAAAGCCCGACCTGCGTCAAGGACACCCTCACTCCCACCCCTTCTCACCCCATCACCCACCTCGCTCACTTGTCTGAGTTTGGAGCTGTTGGGTTTTAGACACAAGGGTGCCCCGCGTGGGTAGTAAGGAGACCCTGTGGGGTGGCAGTGGAGCCAGACTCAGGTAAAGTAGGGGGACAGGCTTGCCTTGATATGGCCGTGGGGGGTGGGGGTGGCGGGAGGTGACGCCAGGTGTATGCTGAGTCACTAGTGAGCGCTGGCGACTTGCACCATTTGGAGAAGCTGGGGTGGGGTCGGGGCGGTGACCTGGCATTCTCCCGGCTTCTTCGTGGTTTGTTTGGGTGTGGGTGGACGTGGGTAAGAGGCTCTGCAGGGACGTGCCGACCCTACGCAGCCACCACGTCGCGACTCCCCCGGGCGGGGGAGGGGGCCACCTGGCGGCCAAGCCCGGGCGCTGTGAGGCTTCCCCTGGTTGTTGCTGGGGGCTCCCTCCCGAAGCCTCGGGCCCGTCTTCGAGAAGACGGGTCTCCAGGCCCCGAGCGCACCCGGCAGCATGGTGGGCTGTGGGCTTGGAGCCGGCTGCAGGCGTGTGCAGCGATTACAGCCGGAGAAGCCGGCTTGGGGACAGGCGTGTGGATAACGCCGAGCCGGGCTGTGCCCAGAGGCCGGGCGTCCACAACGAACCTGGTCCAACTCGCTCCGCCGCGGCTCGGGCGCCGGGCCTGAGAGGGTGCGCAGGTCGCGGAGGAGGTGCGGCGCCTGAAGACTCGCGCGCCCTGCGTGGGGCTCCGGCTCAGGCCAATCAAGGCCGCCCTGCGGAGGGCTGCGCCTCGGCAGAGCAATAGGGCAAGCGGAGCTCTCTGACGTCTTCAAGGGGTGGGCGAGGAGCTGGAAGTCCGACCCTGCTCCTCTGCCCTCCTCTCCCAAACCTGTAGCCCCTGCACCCCCGTCCTCTTCTCTACGCCCCTCGGCGCCCCGCTCCCCCCAACCTGTAACAGCTGGGTGTGGTACTTCATAACGTGGTCCTGGACCCCTTTCCACATTTACGACTTTGTTTTACAAACCGGAATTGCAATTGTAATACGGTTCTGCCATTCACTACTTTTTTGAATTGAACGACATGAAGGGGAGAGCTTCCCAGGTAGGTGTATGTAGACCTGCTTCACTGTTTTAACAAGGTGTCCAGTGTTCCCCAAGATGGATATTCCTTGACTTACCCACCGTGGACCTATTGAGTTCCTCCCCACCCAACCCCAGCTGCCCTGGGGAAGATGGACCGTGGAGTGACGGACAGGGAATTCTGTGAACTCTGGTGTTCAAGTGTGTCTAGAAGGCTGCAGGGGGCCCTGCCTGGGCACTCCTTTGGGTCCTGTGGGTTCCTTCTCCATTCTGTGGCCTCAGATGGGGCTTCTGTATTAATCTCTTAGTGCTGAAAAAAAAATTTCTTCGTACTACTGGAACAAATTACCAAAACCTAAGTGGCTTAAAAAAAAAAAAAACTGGTTACTTTACAATTCTGGAGGTCAAATTCAAAAATAGGCCTCAGTGGCCTGAAGGCAGGGTTGTGACATCTCTGAGAATGACTGACCATCACCAGCTCATGCACACCACTGGCACTCCTTGGTTCATGACTCCCTCCCACTGGCCAGCAGTGGTGGGCTAGCCTCATGTCCCACCACTCTGCCTCTTTAAGGCAGGGGTCCCCAACCCTCAGGCCGTGGTACTGGTCCCTGGCCTGCTGGGAACCGGGCCCCACAGCGGGAGGTGAGCAGTGGGCGGGCGAGCGAGCGAGGAGCCATCTGTATTTACAGCTGCTCTCCATCACTTGCTTTACTGCCTGAACTCTGCCTCCTGTCAGATCGGTAGTGGCATTAGATTCCCATAAGAGCACAAACCCTACTGTGAACGGCACACGCGAGGGATCTAGGTTGCAAGCTCCTTATGAGAATCATCCCCAAACTTTCCCCTCCTACCTGGTCCATAGAAAAATTGTCTTCCATGAAGCCTGTCACTGGAGCTAAAAACGTTGGGGACTGCTGCCTTAATAACTCATGATTGTATTGGGCTTACCTGGATGATCAGACTTTTAAAGTCAGCTCCCTGGCAAGCAACCTTAATTCTCCCTTAATTCTCCCTTTTCATGTAAGACAGCATATTCACCGGTTGGGAGATTAGGGTGTAGACATGTTAGGAGGCTCTGTTATTCTCCCACTGTATCTTCTAGGGAGAAGAGACTAGGCCTGGGCTCCCCACGGCTACCATCAGTTTATGAAGGTGCTGTTGCCCTACATGCTGATCAAACCGCATGTTTTCAGTCTTTGGAGTTTTGATTGATTTGAGGAGTCAGCCCATTTTAAAGCTGAGAAAGCCCAGTTCTGCCCTCCCCCTCCCAACACATACACGTTGTCCAGGCTGTGGGATCTTAGTTTCCTGACTAGGGGTGAAACCCAAACCGTGCCCCCTGCAGTGGCAGCATGAAGTCTGGACTGCCAGGGAAGTCCCAAGAGGAAACCCAGTTTTAGAGAAGGAAGCTCACCTGAGACCTCAGGCAACTTTCTATTTCCAGAATTCCAATCTAATGTTTTCCTCACAAAGCATGATTCATATGGGAGGATGTTTAGCCAGATGGCTTGGAAATCATTGGCTGAGTCTGGCATTTTTCATCCATCCACCAGCAGCCAGGAGCAAAGGCATCTTGGGAACCTCAGGAGTGGTGACCAGGGACTTGGCAGGCAGAGGCAGAGACCACTCGTGCTCTCCAAGCCATGATCTCCTGATACTTCCCTGTGTGTGTGTACTCAGTCATGTCCAACTCTGCGACTCTATGGACTGCAGCCTGCCAGGCTCCTCTGTCCATGGGATTCTCCAGGCAAGAATACTGGAGTGGGTTACCATTTCCTCCTCCAGGGGATCTTCCCAACCCAGGGATCTCGTGTCTCTTGCGACTCCTGCATTGGCAGGCAGATTCTTTACCACAGCGCCACCTGGGAAGCCTGGAGAGTCCCCTTCTCTCTCCCTAACTGGATGCGCCCTGACTGGTCTCCCAGCCTGTCTATTCCCAGGTACAGCCCTTTTTTTCCAGACCCACAAACCTCCAGGGGTGCAGGCCTGGCACCCTTCTTTTGTCTTCCCATGTATCCCAGCAGAACTGGAGTCCTGGCTCTGCCCTTGACCAGCTGTGGTGACCAACCTGGAAGGTGGCGCCCAGTGATCCCACTTCCTGGAACCCACACCCTCCTGCAGTGCCTCTCACGTGGTACCAAGAGGTCCCATGTGACCTGCGGACTGTCAGAAGTGATGTTGTATTGCTTCGGACATTAGGTTATAAAAGTCACTGTGGCTTCCATCTTGGGTGTTCCCTGGGGAATCATTCTCACTGGGGACAGCCCGCCGCCATGGCATGGAGACAGACTGCCTTGCGGAGGGGCCCCTGTGATGAGGAACCCAGGCTTCCACCAGCAGCTGGGTGAATGAGCCCTCCTGGAAGTGGATCCTGCAGCTTCAGTCAAGCCTTTCAATGACTTAGCCGCCGCCGACATCTTGCCCACAACCTCATGAGAGACCCTGAGCCCAAACCCACCAGCCAAACTGCTCCCGTATTCCTGACCCACAGGAACCATGAGAGCATCAGTGTGTGCTGTTTCATGCCTCTATGTTTTGGGATGATTTGTTCACAGTGCTAGATAATTAACACACTAGCTGCGATGTTAGGCAGGTTCTGTAGCCTCTGAACCCCAGTTTCTTCCTTTGCGCCCCAAGAGTCATAGAAGTGACTGAAACGTAGAAAACAGCACAGTGCAAGCACAGGGCCCGGTTTGCTGTGAGTACTCCAAACCCGTGGGCCATGAGCTTCCCGGCCCCCTCCTGCCCCTCCCTGGGCGGGACTTGACCTCACAATGTCAGGCCAAGCCAATGCACTCTTGGCCTGAGGTCACCCTTGAGCCAGTCAGGGACAGAGGCTCTGCCCAGGGAAGGGAGTAGGGGGCCATTTCTCTCCTCCAGCTGGGGCGCCAATGACCTGTGCCAGCCCAGGTGAGTCCATCTGCCCTCCTGCCCACTGCCCTGGGATGGGCAGCCAGAGGCATCCATGGAGTGGGTGCCCGGCCTCTCCCCAGGTGAGAAGAGCAGCCTGGCCTGACCTGGGCTCCGCATGCTGGTTGCCTTTCTGCCCTGTGAAGGCTGAGAATTGTCCTGCGTTCTTCTCTCACCTGCCCCTCCCTGCTGCTGCTCAGTGCCCTTCAGGGTCACGGCCTCCCCTCTCCCCTCACCCCTGCCCCTGAGTCTGGCCGGGCTCAGTCCTCCCCACCTCTCCAGTGGGCTCTAGCATTGACTACAGACTTTCCCCTCAAGCTCTGTTCCCCTCCCTGTTTCTCTTTCAATAACTCAAGATCACCATGGCCATGGTTTGGTGTCATAGACTCTAATTAAAAAAAAAAAGACTCCAGTTCATATTCTGCAGCTTGCGTCTTTGCCCTTATACTTAGTTTCTATGTTAGAGCTTTGCCTTGTGCTTTTCAGCAGCTGCAGAAAATTCAGGACGAGTGTACCTAATTCACTGCTCTCTCAATAAATATTTTTGTGTTTTTTTTTTAATTTGGCTTTTCTGCTTTTTGCTTCATAATTAAGCCATGTGGTCATAGACATCCTCACACAGCTTTACATTCATGGGTGAGAGCTTCTTAGAATTTCCACAAAGAAGATACACCATTTTGTTAATCTTTTAAAAAATAATTTTATATTTTTCTTTCTTCTTCATTTTATTAATCATTATTTGCATCAATGTTTAAGAGGCCAATTTGTCCTAGAAAGGTTGGAAATGAGAAACAGCAGCACCCCCCACCTCCACCTCTCTAGCCACGTTCCACTTACCGCTGGTTCTCCTGGGAAGTATTCTGTTATTTATGTCCATCTTTCTAAATAATATCTTTGTACTTTAGGACTTGCTGTATCATTTGTGGTCATTAGCTGCTGCCTTTCTGTTAAAAGAGGGAAGGATTCAGCTGTCTCTTACCCTCCTTCCTCTCCAGGTCCTGCCAGGTGCAGTAATTACCGGTTGAATCAATGCATCTGTGTTGTGCATGCGAGTAACTATCACTCAGCCTGAGATGAGCGAGCTGCCTCCTGAACTTCAGATGGTGCTTCCTTTCTGGTATGGCTGTTTCTCTGAAGTTTTCCTTATCTGTCTATCAATTTCTTCATTCACTTTTGTTTTTTAAGAAGCCACCTTGCATGGAAGGATCATTTTCCTTTTTTTTTTAATCTTTAAAAATGATTATCATTTGTTTATTGTTGGCTGTGCTGGGTCTTTGATATTGCGTGCAGGTTTTCTCTAGTTGCAGTGAGCAGGGGCTACTTTTCCTTGCAGTGCACAGGCTTCTCATTGCAGTGGCCTCTGTCGCAGACCACGGGCTCAGTGGTCTTGCAGCATGTGGGAGGCTGTGCTGGGTCTTTGATATTGCGTGCGGGTTTTCTCTAGTTGCAGTGAGCAGGGGCTACTTTTCCTTGCAGTGCACAGGCTTCTCATTGCAGTGGCCTCTGTCGCAGACCACGGGCTCAGTGGCCTTGCAGCATGTGGGATCTTCCCAGAGCAGGGTTCATACCCATGTCCCCTGCATTGGCAGGTGAATTCTTAACCACTGGACCACCAGGGAAGTCCCTTAATTCATTTTTTTTCCTTAATTAAATTTTTTACATGGTGAAATCTCTCATAGAAGCTATCATTTTCAGTATTTTGGGGGAGCTTTCTGAAGCCTGTTCTCCTTGTGTCTGAAGAATCTTAGGACTTCTCCCCATTATCCATTTCAAATTGCATTATCTCTCTGGGTACTCCTGAGGCCCCACTTACTTGATTTTTTCTCCCTCACAGCACTTATCTTCCAACATCCCATAAGATTTGCTTATTTATGATGCTTGCTGCCCTCCCCGGCCCCCTCCATACACACTGTCTGCCCTCCACCAGTGGTATCAGAGTGCCATGAGGGCAGAGATTTTTGTTTTTTGTTCACCAGTGTCTAGCACAGTGCTTTGCATGGAGAAGAGGTGCAGTGCATGCTTGTTGAGAATGGACAGTCTCTGGGACTCCTCTTCATGGTCCTTCTATGTGCTTACTTCCTCATGTGGCAGAGCTCATCCTTCAGTAACTTTCTGAGAAAGGGTGCTTGTGAGATAGATATTTTCAGACATCTTATAGTTATGTGTATATTGACATGCACATTTAGCGTAGAGTCTGCAAATTTCTTCACATGTAGTTCAGTTCAGTTGCTCAGTCGTGCCCGACTCTTTGCGACCCCATGGACTGCAGGCTTCCCTGTCCATCACCAGCTCCTAGAGCTTGCTCAAACTCATGTCCCTCGAGTCAGTGATGCCATCCAACCATATCATCCTCTGTCATCCCCTTCTCCTCCTGCCTTCAATCTTTCCCAGAATCAAGGCCTTTTCCAGTGAGTTAGTTCTTCGCATCAGATGGCCAAAGTACTGGAGTTTCAGCTTCAGCATCAGTCCTTCCAATGAGTATTCAGGACTGATTTCCTTTAGGATTGACTGGTTGGATCTCCTTGCAGTCCAAGGGACTCTCAAGAGTCTTCTCCAACACCACAGTTCAAAAGCAACAGTTTTTCAGCACTCAGCTTTCTTTATGGTCCAACTCTCACATCCATACATGACTACTGGAAAAACCATGGCTTTGACTAGATAGATCTTTGTTGGCAAAGTAATGTCTCTGCTTTTTAATATGCTGTCCAGGATGGTCATAGTTTTTCTTCCAAGGAGCAAGTGTCTTTTAGTTTCATGGCTGCAGTCACCATCTGCAGTGATTTTGGAGCTCTCCAAAATAAAGTCTGACACTGTTTCCATTATTTCCCCATTTATTTGCCATGAAGTGATGGGACCAGATGCTTCATGTTTAAGATGGTAATAAACATTGAGTCTCTCCAGGTTGTTCTGAGAAGATAAAATGATTAGAATTCTTTGAGGACAGGTATTAATAGTTTATGAAGATTGAAATATGTATAAAATAAGGGTTGTTGAGGCAGCTGAGTCCAGTGACTGAGAGCAGGGTGTCAGTGTAGGTCGGGCTCATTCTGAGTCCTGTGCTCTGTAACCTATTAACTCTATGACCAAGAGTAACCAAGTTACTGAAGCCTTGGCTTCCTTGTGTAAAGAATGATCATAGTACCTGTTGTTTATGGGACAAAATCCAATACACTGCTCTGAATATACAGTAGGTGTTATTGATGTACAATATTGTTGGATGTGGCTTGGTATGGGAGTAAGGGCAGTGTTTACCTTGGACTTGCCTTTGTGTCCCCTGAGGGTTACAGTACCTGGAGTGGGGTAGCAAAGAGCAATTTACAGCAAAAGTCCTGGGAAGGATACTGGTGTTTTGACCCCCATTTCCATCTGCTAAGAATTTATCTTAAGGAAGGAAGTAAGTGTGTGTCCAGATTGACCTACAGGGCCTTGTTTATGACATAAAAGTCTGGGAACCACTTCAGTATCAGGTGGGAGCTTGATCAATATCATAGATTTGGGGCTTACCAGGTGGATCAGTGGTAAAGAATCCGCCTGCAACACTGGAGACACTGGAGATGTGTGTTTAATCGCTGAGTTGGGAAGATCCCCTGGAGGAGGAAATGACAACCCACTCCAGTATTCTTGCCTTGAGAATCCCATGGACAGAGGAGCCTTGCGGGTTATAGTCCACGGGGTTACAAAGAGTTGGTCATTACTGACCGGCTGAGCATAGAGGCATAGACTCTAGTCTTCCTCTAGTGGAATCATCTTTAGCCCTTACAGTTGAGGAAGACAGGTATCCCGAGAGCTGGACAGGATACAGGATGGTACATTGTTAAGTGAAAAAAGTGAGTGTCAGAACAGTGGGAGCCTTCTGAGGGATGGAGGTTACATTTGCCTTTTTACTGGTTATTTATTTATTATTTAATGTTTGGCCGTGCCACGCAGCTTATGAGATCTTAGTTCTCTGACCTGGAATCGAACCCCAGGCTCGTGGTAGAGAAAGCTTTTAACCACTGGACCACCAGGGAAGTCCCTCCCTATTGGTATTTTAAGGTTTGTAAATAGAGGATTGGATGCCTGGACAAATAGAAGTCATATAGTCTAATTGTCAAAGCACAGTCTCTGGCATGTGAGTATCAAGATCCTGGCACTGGTAATACAGAACTCAGGAAGAGCTACAGAGTTATGCTATGCCTCAGCTTCCTCATCTGAGAAGTGAGGCAACAGTAGCTGGATGCTTGTTCTGAGTAAATGAGATTAGACATGAACATTCTTTACTGAGAGTAAGCACTGCTGCTCAATGATTAATTCTGGCCAGTGAGATTAGGGATTCACTTATCTTACTGTTACTTCTCTTTATTGTCTAAATAGTTTTTCTTTTTAAAGTGAAGATATATTTCTTCTGGAAACAGAAAAAAAGATATTTTAAAATATGCAAACCTTCAGGTAACAAAGTGATTCTAATTTTGTTTGAAATAACATCTTAGAACAACAACGTGAATGTACTTAACGCCACTGCACTCTAAACTGGTTAAGGTCTTAAATTTTACCATAGTTAGAACAATAATACCACCGTCATCATCAACAATAACAACTACAAAAAAGTTAATAAGCAGAGAAGGAAGTCCTGAAGGAGTCCCTGGGACTCTCAGCAGGGATGAGATGCGATGGTTTTCTGCCTTACAGCTGTGGCTTTAGAGCCTCGTTTTGCTTCCGTGAACACTTCTCAATTTTGCAACTAGTGAAGTTGCTTCTCTCGGTGTTTACTCAGAGCACCAATTCCGAGTCCGCGCCGTCCGGCTGGAGCCCAGCCGCCGCGCGTGGGGCGTGACCTTGGCCGCCGCGTCCCTGCCCGGGCGAGCCTCAGTTTCCCGGTCTCGGAGCGAGGATGACAGCTCGCCGGGTACCGCGCGCAGCCCCGCCCCGCGGACCGCGGATTGGCTCTCGTGGGGTCGCCCCCCCGCTCCGGGGCGGGGCCGGGCCGCTCCCGCCTGCCAGGCCCCAACCCGGAAATGCGGCTCGGGGGCGCCGGCCGGGCTGGCCCGGACCGTGGCAGAGCGACGGCGAGGGAGACCAATGGGCGCAGGCGGATGCGGCGGCCCGGCGGAAGTCCCGCCCGGCGTCGCGCGGGGGCGGGGCGGCGCCGGGGGCGGCGGGCCGCGGGGCGGGCGCAGGATGAGGGCGGCCATTGCTGGGGCTCCGCCGCGGGGAGGAGGACGCTGAGGAGGCGCCGAGCCGCGCAGCGCTGCGGGGGAGGCGCCCGTGCCGACGCGGGGCCCATGGCCAGGACCACCAGCCAGCTGGTGAGTGCGCGGCTGCTGCCCGGGCGCGCCAGCCCGTCACCCTGCTGAACGCGGCGGTCGCCCGGGCCCGGCAAGGCGGGGCGGTCCCGGGGGCCCGGCGGCGCCTCCTCACCTGCGGTGAGCGGCCGGGCCGGGGACCGCGGGTGCCGTCGGGGCGTCGCTCGGCCGCCCTGCGAATCCCTGGCTCGGCTGAGGCGGGCTCTGGCCCGGCGCGGGCACTGACAGGCGCGCGCAGGGCGGGGGAGGCCGGGGAGGTGTCACCGGCCCGCCGCGGTGGAAGTGCTTGGAAAGTTTGTTTTCGGCGCGGCGCGGCCTGTAGCCGAGCCTCCGGCGTTACCTTTCGGGCTGTCTGCGGAGAAGCCGCTCTAGGCCTTCACCTGGGACCGGTCCCTGTGCTTCCGCTCGCCGCCGAAGCGGGATGTGCGAGTTCTTGCCCGGAGCACCTGATGCTCGGGCCCCTCCGAATTCCCGGTTGGGATGAAGTCCGATGCACTCGGGTGCGCTCCTTTCCCGGCCCCGCGGGGCGGCGTGTGGGTGCTTTGCGTGCCTTGGGGCTCTGCTCCGGCACCGGAGTGATGGGATACCTCGGGGAGGCCAGGCTTGAACCCACCGCCGCGGGCTGGTGAGCGTGACCGGGCGGAGAGATTTTAGGGGAAAGGAAACGAAAAAGCGCTTGTTGGGTTAAGTGTGTTGGTGAATGTATCCCTAGTGTTTCTATGTTTTCTGTCTGTTGCTTAAAGTACCCCAGTCTATGTTTGCTCTCTGTTAAGTTCGGAAGTCTTGGGAAGACGGTTTAAGGATTTATACCTTTTATGCAGTTGTGAAGTGGGTGCTGGATGAAGGTCTAGACTGCTTCGCGTTCGAAAGGAGAATCCCTCCAATAGAGGAAGACCCAAGAAATTGACTCGATCCCTTGTTTTTCTTATTTTCTGCAGTAGTGGCTCTTAATATTTTTGATTGTTCATGAACCATTTAAAAACTCGGCTTCTCCGAATTTTGTAATTACTTTGGGAGGTTCTTGAACCTTCTGCCGGGTGGTCCGTGAACTCGAGAATTCTGCTTTGTAGAGATGGGTGATAATATGAAGTGTGAGAGGAGGAAGACCTGGGCAGGTGAGAAAAACGGTGAAAGGCGAGGGGATGTTTTTGGCTTTTGCGACACGTATGGCCGTGCCCTGGGGGGCCTGGACTACGTGCAAAAAACACCAACTAGGATGCTTGGCGGCCCTCAGTGGCGGCTGGGGCTGACAGATTGTGGAAGTTTGTGAGACGAACTTTCACACAGAGGTGCTGTGGCAATGCAAGGTGTGCACTCCGTCGGCCTCCAGGGAAAGGGGAAAAGAGCATATCATCTCATGGTCTTGGTAGTTCCACGTGACCGACACTTGACGTCTGGAGGTTTCTGTGCAGAAGGCAGCTTTTTGGTACAAAAACGCTGAAATCCAGTGAGAAGAAATGAGTTCCAAAAGTAAGAATGGACGTTCCCATCAGGAAGTGAGAGGAGCTGGGCTTTCGTGTTTTCGTCAGCTAGATTTTCCCCACATGTCTGGAAGAACATGCCGTGTTTCCCATCAGTAATGGCAGAGATGCCCCCAATAGTGGGTTTTTTGTGTGAAGACAGATAGGTTTGCTCTGTTCAAGTGAGTTTGCACCTGGATTTTTATGGTGGCACTTTATGAGAAGTCTCCGATCTGATTATTTTCCCCTTTACATATGTAAAACCAGCGGAGCAGCAGAATGAGTGGGGAGGTCTGGAAAGGGTCCAGCCCGGTTTGATACTAAGTGGGCCGGAAGCTGCGGGAACCGGGTGTCGAGCTCTTACTTTAAGGCAGGCCCTTTGCCAGATAGTCGTCCTCATGCTACTGGACTTCGACAGTGTTCCGAGGTCAGCGTTGCTCCTGTTTTACAGGTGCGAAAGCTTCGGTTTCCACAGTGTGGAGAGATTGAGTACCCATCCTGTGGAATGCAGTTTGAGCCCATGTCTGACTCATGGCAGAGGCCTGGGTGCCACCCTGCCTGCCCCTCCTGGGAGTGGTACCCTGAGGGAGGGTCGCAGCCTACTGCCTGTGGAAGTCCTCAGTGCCCCTGCCCAGGGCATCTTTCTGGGGGCCGTGCGTGTCCTCAGATTGCCATGCACGAGGCAGGAGGGACGTCCTCTCGTAGACGAACAGCACATTTAGTTATTTCTCGGGACAGATGGCTGAACTCTGTGACCCCTGGAGCCCGTTTCAGCCTCATGCTGTCAGAAAGCCGCTGTTTGGAAAGAGGCTCTGGTCCCTCCTTATTTGAGGGCTGATTTTCTGAATGGTGAGCTTGGGAATTCTCCCTTGGTGAGAAACTGCAGTGATGTTGTTAAAGGTGAAACTGCCTGCTGGGGAGAGTGGTCCCCTGCACACGTCAGGGTGGCTTTTGCAGGGTGGCTGTGTGCGTGGGAGGGCGGTGGGGAAGGCTGACAGCTTGGGAAGAAGTGGGCTCCGATTCTCGCACGCCCTTGTGCATAGCTTCTCCTCGTGTGGCGAGTGCAGAGCGGTGCACTCCCACCCTGCAGCGCTTACCGAGTCGAGTCCAGAGCTGGCAGGTGGGGGCCCCGTACTCACGTACTCATGAAGGGTGAACATGTAGGTTTGCCCTCCTCCTCTGACGTGTATTTGATAAGAAGGACTGCAGCGGCAGCTTGGAGCAGTACAGGCACTGAAGAGAGGCCTTGGGCTGCTCCTCAAGGCAGGATCCGGCCTTTGGGCTACCTGTAGCAGTGGTGTGGGGAGGAGGAGGAGGCAGCTCTTGGGTGGGCCCTCTTTTCAGCCTGTGCCCTCCCCCACTGACCCACCTAATGGTGGGTTTGGGTGCGCGGAGGGCAAGTGTGTTACAAATTGGGAACTGGTGCAGAAGGGAGGGGGTGAACAAGGTCAGTGCCTTCCCGCTGGTGGTGTGAGGCGAGCCTCCATGGGCCCTACACTTTGCCCCTTCTTGAGGAGGAGCTTCTGTGGATGTGGACTTTGATGGGGTCCCACGTGATGCTTCACTTCTGTGACTGCAGAGCGAGGAGCCACTGCTGAGGAGCGCTTGATGCAGAAATGACTCCCTCAGCAGGTGCGGGGGTTGGGGCTGGCTTGTGCGTGCTCTGTGCCTGCCCTTGTGATGACAGCTGGCCACAGGGGTGCGGAGCACAGTTGTTTTGAAGGCAGGTTCAAAGGGCAGATCACCAGGGAGGAAGTGCTGGTGTGGAAACTGTAGATTGGGACATGTATCGTTAAGGCCTTTTCAGTAATGCATTCTTCTCGAACTGTGTTGCATTCTTGTTCCCTGTGATACCAGACCCTTTAGAAAATTATTTGAATATTGAGAACCAGTTGTGTATCCAGTCTGTATACCAGTCAACAGGCAGGGTGCGTTTTTCTCAAGAGCAGTGGGGAACGTGTTCTGGTGACGATGGCTTAAAAAGAGAGAGGTCTGTTGGGTTCATTATGGTTCGTGGGGTCTGTTTTCTGTGCTTGGCGCTGGTTGTGTTTATACAGTTGCACAAAGTCTGGTCCTATTCTCTTGGTCTAGGAAACTTTAATAATTTAAACTGACATTTTTACTCCAAGAAATCCCAAGTTGTTTTGAATGTGTTGAGAGAGAGTTCGCTGTAAAGGATTTACAACTGTGGGCTTCAAATCCCTTACCAGAGCAGCTGGTTCAGGTGTCTGTCTACATAGTTGGATTACACGTGGCCTCTCAGAAGCAAGGACTGACCACACTGCAAGCTCTGCGTGTAAAGAGGCGGTGCAGACCTGACCTTTGCAGCTGGTTCCTGGGGGCACAGCCATATGGAGTGTGGCCGAGGGCCTGATGAAGGGGGCGCAGAGCTCCTGGCGGCCCAGTGACCTCCTCTGTCCTGCAGATGGGCTTGTGTGCCTACTGTGCCAGCCACTTGCCGCCTTCAGAATATTTAAAGGTGTGGTTTGAAGGTATGTCTGGAGGTCCGTGTCTTCTGCCTGTTTGTGGAGCGGGTGGCAGGTCTGCCCACGCTGAGAGGGCTGATGAGAGGCTGTGTGTGTGTGTATCTCTCGGCAGTATTTCAGTCAGAATTCATCCGGCTAAAAGCTTATTTAACAATGAATTCATTGTTAAAGTCTCATTCTTCAACCTGTTCTTTTTTGGAATTAATTTTAGCGCAGCAGGAGTTGTATCTCAAAGTGACAGCCGAATATTTGATGCTGTCAAGAAAGGTTGGTGAGATTCGCCCGGAGGCTTGGAGCCTCATTGAGGTTCTCCTTAAGTGCCGTGGAAAGCTGTGGGGAGAGGGCTTGGAGTTAACTTTTCTGTCCCCCCCCCACCCCCCGGATGGTGAGAGGCTGGGAGGGCCAGGCTGCAGGGGACCCGGAAAACTACCACGTGCAGGGGGAGACCTTGTCTGAGCGCCTGGGCCTGAGCGCGGAGGTCGCGCTGGTGGACGCCCTCCTGCGGTGCTGTGCTGCCACACCGCGTTCTCGTCCTGTTCTCTCGCCTGGTGGTGCTGGAAACGCGGACACACTCTCTTCTTCTTTTTCCCTTTCCTGGTGAGGAGGTGCGGGGCTGCTGGGGGGGTCCCCGAGTTCTGATGCTCCTGTGCCTTCCCTCTCCTCTCCCGGCTCGTCACTTAGCTCTCCTCCATGCCGGTCCCTCAGACACCCCCGCCGTGTGGCTCTCTCCCTGGCCTGCCCAGCCCAGGACAGGTTCAGGATCTCCGACCGCCAGGCTCTTCTCTCCAGGCCCTTCCTCTTGGCCTGAAGAGACCCCCTCAGGGGAAACAACCCCTCCCCGCCCCAGGCTCTGAAGCCTTTTCTAGCCAATCAGCTTCTTTGTGCCCCTTCCTGCCCTCCATCTGCATCAGCTTTGACTACAGGTGCAGTGTTCTGTTTCTCTGGAACGGGTGTGTATAGCCCTTGTTAAACGTGTCTCCCTGAACTTGGAGTCTCTAGATGGTTTCTGTTACTCTTTCTCACACTTTTCTCTTCATGGTTTTCATCCCTGTCATAG